AGAGGTAGTGTTAGGTGGAATGTACACTAACTTCACATCAGGGTGCATGTCGTCCAGGTGTGGTGGGTGTCCCGGAGTATTATCCAAAATCAGTAAAATCTTGAATGGAATCTGTTGTTGCAGACAAATACTCCTTGGCTCGTGGAATGAAACAAGTCATGAACCAATCCTCAAACAGTACTAGGGTCATCCAGGCTCTCTTATTACTGCGATAAAACACTGGCAGTGTGTGCTTGCTGACATGTTTAAAAGCCCTGGGATTCTCTGAATGATAGATCATGAAGGGCTTTAGCTTGAAACCAGCAACATTCCCCCAACAGAAGTGTAATTCTGTCCTTGAATGCCTTGAATCCGGGCATTGTTTTCGCCTCTTTGTGGATGTATGTCCGCTCAGGCATGCGCTTCCACAAAAATCCAGTCTCATCCACATTGAATATTTGCTCAGGCAAATAATTCCATTCCACAATCACATCATCTAACGTCTCCTTAAAAGCTTCGGCAGCACCAACATCGGCACTAGCTGCCTCTCCACTCACCTTAACATTGTGTAGACTGTAGCGTTTTTTAAATCTATCAAACTACCCATGACTTCCTGTAAAGGTTTGATCACATTCATCTCCTGCCTGCTCCTTCAGGCTTTGGAACAGGCTTCTTGCTTTAGCCTGTATGGTTAGAAGGCTTAAGGGTACACGCTTCTGTATCTGGTCTTCTATCCATATCACCAATAATTTTTCCATATCGTGAATAGGAGCTTGTCTTCTCTTTGATATTATAGTTCTCTTTATAGGTGTTGTTCCTTTCACTACTTCACGAATACGTTCCTTGTCCTTCAGAATAGTGGATATAGTCGCGTGTGAGAAACCTAGGTCGCGTGAGATTGTTGCTACTGTTTTTCCATTCTCATGCTGTATTATTATCTTCATTTTTATCTCAAAAGTAATTGCCTGTCTCCTTTTCTTTGGAGCACCACCAGCACTCTCACTTTTACGCTTTCCAGTCATTATAAAGTCAATTAAATACGATAATTACGAAAGTTCACAGCGAGATCAGTATAGGATACGATAGCCAAACACAAACAAAGCGCTCCACTGAGTGAGTGTACCCACGAGGCGACCCGAGACGCGCCACCCACTCGCCCCGGACGGAAACGTTTCGGTATAGAAAATGCATGCGTCATTTGAAAATATTTTTGGTAACGACTGCTGCGGTCGTTTGTCCCGACGGACGTACGGTCAAAGCAGGTCATAAGTACCAATGGATGTAAGTACATGTGGTCGTAAGTCGGCGTCTAGCTGTACTCCCTGGTTCACCATAGCAATGGAGACTCCACCTCCGCCGATTCCCTAGCAATGCTCCCTCCCACTCCTCCACTGAGTCAGCTAACTCATGTGCAAAGAAATATATGTTCTCTTTATGTATTTGCCCTTAGGACGGTGTGTGCATGTAACCAAGTAAAAATAAATGAAGAAAGTTATGTATATCTACCCAAAAATACGAGCTGAAAAACAACCACAACACCTCATAGCTTGGCCCAGTAGCCTCAGTGACAAGTCTAACCTACCTACAATGCCGCCAGCGATGTTAACAGATGCAAATGTGAAGAGAAAGTTACAGTACAGTACAATATATGTAAATCTTCATTTGAGGCACTCAGCATTAAAAGGGGGTGAAGCGCCACACCAGGCAAAATGCATTTTTTGGTGGACATCACTATTTTCACCATTCCTCTACATGGTGGCTTTAGATGTAACCCCCTAGCTAGAATAGAAATATGGTTGAAAGTCCTTCAAAAGTAGGGTGTCATTTCGCCTCGGGCAGGGAGTTACATATCTGGCTGTGTGCTCAGTAAATGAAGGTGGCTACATCCCGTTCAAAGTGAGAGGAAAGTGAGCCAATGACAGTGCACCTCCCGCGGACCATACCCCGAGTCAGCCAATCACAATGGATTTCCCTTGCTACGTCACAGCTCCTCGGCCAATCCGCGCGCCCAGATGCTGCCTCCCTGTTAGTTTTGGCACGTTGTATAGCTTAAGGCGGTTCAGTGTACTTTCTACTGCTTTTTTTGATAACTTTTTGGCGTAACATTGACGTTATTCGTGTTCCATGGGTGTAAAAAGTGCTGTGCAATGTCTGCCCGATTTTAGAGCAAGACTCGAGTGAGGCCAGGCCTTCTGGTGTGAGTTCAGGAGTCCTAAATCCTGAGCGTGTGTTTAGTGATGACAGTGCTCATGTGGACACCCCAGCCATGCTTGGTGATAGTGATTTTGGTGGTGAATTTAATGGTGATTATGGTGATGCAAGCGCTACTGGCGATGGTGCAGGTGACGTGCGTGAGAATGTTGGTGGTGAGCTACTTGGTGATGTTGGGAGCCTAGAGTTGGTGGTGGAGCACCACGTGATGCAAATTGCAGGGGTCAGGAGCATAGCCCCAAAGGCCCTATAGAAAAAAAAAGGCAGGATGAGACAGCTTAGGGTTGACGAGTGGGCACAGGAGGTTGCCAAGCACAAATCTAATTTGATTATGATGAGGCCATTAAAATTGTACGCACTCCTTAGGATTTATGTAACTTCAACTTACTACGATCTTCAGGGATAATTAAACGAAGTAGCTAAACAAAGTAAGATTGTAAAACTATTATCATAATACTGTTTTTACCAAAGATTATGAAAACTTTCACCACCTTTGTATTCGCATGTTAATTACGTGGGGGGGGGGGGTGACTGCAGTGGTGTTTCCTTATTATTGCACACTATTATACTTAATATTATAAATCTTTGGCTAATAATAGGGACGGAAAGATAAATACAGGTTGACAATCCTTTATCCGAAATCCTTGGGGCCAGAGGCATTTCGGTTTTCAGAATGGTTAGGTTTTTTTTTTTTTCCCACCCGGGCATAGATCACTGACCCACATCGGGGCCTGGGGGTCGAAAATATAATAAAAATAATAAAAATACAGTAATAATAATTCATAGGTCTAGGTCGTGTTTCTCACTTTTAATCTTTTTTTCATTCTTGTATTTCGTTACTGTATTATTATTATTATTTTATTATTACAGTATTATTGTTATTATTATTATTAATTTTATTATTATTATTATTTTTATTGTAATCATTATTATTTTATTTTGGTGTATTTTTATTAAATTTTATTTACTATGAATAATTATTATTATTATAAGTATTATTACTATTACATTTTCGCCCCCCAGGCCCTGATGTGGGTCAGTGATCTGTGCCTGGGTGGGCTAATAATCCCTGTTTAAAAAAAAAAAAACCACCAAAAAACTTTCGGTTTTTAGAGCTTTTCGGATAAAGGGTTGTCAACCTGTACTGATAGGCAAGAGCTTTTTATTATTTTCTTTTTTTGGCGGGGTGTGGGGGGGCGGTGTAAGACAAGTGTTGCTTTTGGTGATCATTAACTTGTTACAGTATTAGCCCACAATAATGAGAAAATTTTACAGAAAAACGTGATTATTGCTGGTTTGAAGATCAAACAACCATACATAACGGGTAGTTCTCATTCAACTCGCGATAAAATAATAACTATTCACAGTACTAACTTCCAGTTTTCACAGTTCGCTAGGAGCGGGATTGAGCTGCACGATAAAGAAAAATGAACCCTCTAGCTTAAAAAACAACAAAGTTATGGTTGTTTGAACTTTGAAAAACTTTAAACGCATTTTTTTCCGCCTTTTAAATTTGGCGCTTCACCCCCTTCTAATGCTGAGCGCCTATTTGTATCAGGTATTTGTAGATTTTAAAATAAATGTTGAAGGTATGGAATTAATAGATTGTAATGCTTATAAGAGTTCAGAAATGGTTACTGCTTAGCTACCTCTGAAGAGTTGGGTGTCTGCCGTACGGACGTAAATCATCTTGGGTATCATCATCAGTACAGTAGTTATAAATTGAGCTTTTATATTTACAATATTAATTTTTTAATTAATTAAAAATAATAATAATGTGTTTAATTAAGTAAGCAGCAACATATTTTTAATTCTGGAGTTGGTTAGGTATAATTTAGCCTATTGGAGACAGCAACTGGGGTGTTCATTAGCTTAAGGAAGACTTAAACTTCTAATATAGGACGCAGGCTGATTTTTACAGCCATTTTTTCAAACAATAAAGTGCGTCCTATATGCAGTAAAATACGGTAATAGGTCAGGCCTTTTTTGGGGCCAAATACGTCGTTTATATGGAAACTAAAAAGTAATGCATTTAAATGGTAAAGCCAGACCATATTCATGGTAAACCATGTAATAATTTTATTTAAAAATTACAGGCATAGTGCCATTGGTGTTTTATATAGAATACAGTAAACCCTTGGGATAATGGTCACACACTGTATATAACAGACCCTGGTTATAATGAACACCCTAAACCTATTGGACAAACTCTCAGGATAATGGATAGGTGTCTGTTATCCTAAAGAGTTGTCCAATAGTTCATCATTGTAGGTACTGAACTGGTTAGTGATAGCAGGACACAGTGGAGGTGACATTTACAACACAGGCAACACATTCAAACTGAAAAGCCAGCATGGCCTCTTGGACTTTCCCTCTGGTTAATGCAGTTTTTGTTTCATTGATAGATTTTTGGACATTATCAGTCACTCGGTTTAACAGATGTTCAGCCAAAACGTACTGTAAATGGTTTTCCTCTAATTAGTCCATTATCCTCAGGGCTTACTGTAGTCTAAATGTGTTGTAATTATTTCATGTCATTAATTAACACTAACTGCACAAATTCCAAAAAAATTGAACCCAGATCCATAACCAGCATGTTGAGGAGTACAGTACCTTTGTTTTAAATCTAAACTTTGACTAACCTAAAATGCAAGGTAATAGGTCAGATTTTTGGGGGGGCATATGAATTTATCTGAAAAGTGAAAAGTAATGTTTAAATGGTAAAGCCAGTTTCTCTTCATGGTAAAATTTCCTAAAACCTCTTCACAAACTGTTCTTGTGCAAACCAGTTCACCCAATTAAATATCCAATTAGCAAAAACGATTTATTTATGTTTATTCATTAATTGACAGTGTACATGATACACAAAATAAATTTATCTTCCAAAATCAATTATGTTAACTTACAATTCCTAATATCCTTATACAACTTTCTGTTTCAGCAGTACAGTACCATTATTATAAATAAATAAGCAACCATGTCAATTAAAACAAAATATATAATTATGTTCCAAATATTACAAACTTGCAAGTACAATGCACATTAAAGTAAAAATATACACAAAACTCTTTACAGTACTGTAATAATATTTTCCATTTGTGAGCTGTACAACTATAATGTAAGGATGGTGCTGGCTTGGTCTTGTAGAAGATTCTGCATGCTGCTGACGTCTTTGCACCAGTCCGTCAATCTTTCCATCATTGATGCCAGCTGATGAAAATAAAATTATATCAATTACCCTTGCACTATTACCTAAACCTTTCCATTTTTAACTAATTTATGCAATCCACATCTAATAATTCCATCCTTATTTAATATACCACAACTCTTCACAATAGCCTCCCCTCTACATTTGTTCACCATCCCTTTTGTCTGCAGTTTCCTTTGAGATTTTCAATAATTTTTATATATATATTTTTTATTAAATCTGGCTACACCCATCAAAAAGAATAGAATATGTCTAATACTTCTAGAGAGAATAGTGCTACAGATATTTGATTATTCAATAGTTATTTTTACCACCTTACACTTGATTTCTTAAAACTAATAATTTTTTTAAATCATGGTACCGGTACTGTATTCTTATCACTAACCTGTTTCTTGTCGAGGACCCTCGGCTGAACCCAAGTTATATTAACTTTGTTGTCCACTTGATCAATCGTGCCACGGACGAGGCCAAGTGACAGGGCACGCATCACCATCACTTCTACTTGGTTTTCTGGAAGGCCTGTTTCCTGGGCAATCTCTGCAAATGTCAGCTGACGGTCCCAAGCCTTACGTTGGAATGTCATCTATAATAAAACATGAAAGTGGGATAACGAAAATATTTGGAAGTACAGTACATCTAAAATATGTGTAACAAAACGTCTCACTGTACTGAAGATTATGTGCATCAAAACTCAAGCAAATTGGTCGAAACATTGGCAATTCATCATTTCTACACAGATGCTCATGTCTGACAAAATTAATTCCTTATTCTTCTACCAGGGACTACAACATCCAAAAGCATTATGGTACACTGCCATGCCCATTTTTATTTCAAATTTGGAACAAATCCATATTCATTTTCTATATAAATACCGACTGAAAATGGACATCTGTCATGAATAGGAATAATAAATACAGTACTTAAGCAAAAGTGATAATTTTTCAAAACTTAGAATAAGCACATAAAAGCAATTACTGTACTGCACTGTACCTCCATCAGACACAAAAGACGAATCTTTTCCCTCAGTTGGTTTTCTTTAGCAAGTAGGTCTGGCTGAGTGCTCCATTGAGGCTTCATGGTTTCAAACTTGCTTATGTTACCTTGGTTAAAAGCAAACAACAATTCCAACAACCATTCCGATGATGAACCTTTCAGTGCTTCTAGAATGGGATGGGCAAGCTGAAACAGATTTGTTATATGATCAATATTTGGCAAATATAATGGTACCAATTAATTGAACGACTTTGGTATTAGAAACCTTCAAAGAGAAAACCTCCTTGGATGAAGTGCAATTCTTTTTCATTAAACATATGTTGATTCTGTATGCTACTTGATACATCCATGGTAAAGGTGCCTGGACCACTTCAATAAAAAATAAATAAATAAATACACCAAAAAATACCAAAGGTGGCCAATACAAACTTTCATGTTTGCTGTTAATTATTAATCCTACAAGAAATTTGTGTTTTCATTATCAATTATCAAAATTTAGTTCTTTTCTACAGTCCTTTTACTTTGCTCTTGAATTACCACAATATTATGTGTCCAAATTTATACAAATACATTTCAATAAATGTTTTACTCACCAATTCTCCAAAATTGTAGATACCTTCACCCAAAAGGGCAGCAAGTCCAAGGTAAAAGGCTTGTTTATTCTTGGTCTCTGTTTCCATGTCGTCTACCTCTGTGCAACCAAGGTATCGGAGAGCAGCTCTGTAGTAATCTGAATGAGCCCCACTGCGGCAATATAATTCTGACGCCAAGAGATAGAACCTGCCATGTGGAAGGGAATTGAATAATTATTTAAAATATGATATCATTTACCATCACCATTACATGAATGCAAATTCATCTCAACTACAAAAATATATGCAGAAGTAGTACATTGGTTAACTATGGTCACAAATGACAACACTGTTGAGATATAAAGGAACTGTCCTCTCTCCCCTGATGAATCTTATCTCCAGCAACTCACTCTTTCATATACTTTGTGGCACGATATACTAGCGTGTGTGTGTGTGTATATATATGTTGTGGTCACCACCTTTTCTTAAACCAATATCATCACATTATACAACTCACACAAATGCTTCACTCCACACGACACAACCACCCCGCCTGCCTAAGGCAGCGCACAGGTCCAGGCAGGGAAGAGTCAGTAGATGACTTTTCCCACTCGAACACGCGCGTGAGCAGTGTAGAAAAATGGACGTTGCCACGACAACTCCCTCCAACCACGGCGATTTCCAGCTTCCAGAACGGCCATTCAAATGCGCCAGCCTGCCCCCGCCTGCCTGCTCTCGGTGCGGCCACGGCCTAACAGTTACCCACTCTCCCTACACTGCAACACTACATATTACAACTAACCTACTCAACTATATGCCAGACATACAATCCTTCAACACAGCTTCATTAAAAGATCTCAAGAGCCTAGAGGTTATCAACAAACACCTGAGGCTCATTGGCTTTGCATGCATCGAGAAAAAGAGATACAGTAACTTTACTGAACCTATATCACTGTACCTAGGATTACTGTTAACATGGTAGTACTAATATTTAACTCACTTTCCATGAACTGGAGTCACCCCATCAATTTCGTCAAGCATTTTCTCCGTTTCGTCCAGAATTTTTTTTGTTCTTACTTGATCCTCTAATCGTGACAAAGTTATCTGAAACATTAATAAAAATGTACTAGGCCCATTATTTTGATAAAACAGGTATTCCCTGATTTATGAAGGGTTACATTTTTGAAAAACTTCTTGTAAATCATTGTTATGTAAATCAAATCGCATGAGTGTTTTCATTAGTGGTCAATACCATGAAACAAGAAGAGTGTCCGATTAAACACACATCCCTAAAAGAAAGTACTGTACAGGTAAACACAAATATATATACTGTACTACAGTACAATCTCGCCAAGGCAGACCCCGCTAAGCCAGACCTCACTTAAGCAGGACAAAATTAATTGCCCCAAAAATAATTAAAAATTTAAAGAAATATAAAAAAAATAAATAAATAAATAAATAAAATTTAAAAAGTAAGATATAATATGTCGTAAGATGACATGTCCGCCATAAGCCAAAGTTTCAAGGGAGCAAGGAGGACAGTCCTCTTGATCCACGCTGGTAAACAAAGGGACATGCGTCACGAGCTCAGTCATAAATTAGCATCACTTCTGTTCTCTCGCTCCATCGATTGTGTTTTATTGCCATCAGACGTGCTGAACTTTATTTTGAAACTTATTTGACATTGCCAATAATGTGTTTATGCTGTAGGCTGATGTAGCAAACATACTTTTCATTATTATTGAAAAATTAGACAATAACCATTGCTCCTAAGAAAGTGTTTGGTGTCAGTAAGGGTGGTGAGAAGGTTAAGCCTTAAACCTTATCAGTGAACAAAAAGTTAAAGGTGATTAAAAAGCTAGAAAAGGGTGATTCTCACAAGCAAATATGTGCTGAATATAGAATTTCAAAACATTCAGACTCAAGAGTGACTGCAAGCCTCTTGCAGTCTGAGGCATGTCTAGCTGGGTCTGCCTTCCATTTTTTGGGTAAGTGTACAGCACTTTGTGTACACTACCGTTTATTATTAATTCATATTAAAAAACGTGTATTTCTTTTATAAAAATAGGATATACTGGTATTGTACTTGTTTTTTGTTTAAAATGGAGGTCTTTTTTTTAAGAATTTGCTCCAAGGCGGATAACCTCTTATACAGGACACCCCCCCCCCAATTCGTCCGCCTTAGCAAGGTTTAACTGTATATATAGTACAGGTTGTACCTCTCTAGTCCGGCATTCTGTGGTACGGAAACTCCCGTGGTCCGGAACAATTTTAGTTTGTCCAATAGGTAGATAAGCAGGTTTTTTTTTTTTTACTTATCTCAATTATTATTATTATTACTGGAGTATTGCATTTTCGCCCCTCAGGCTCGAATGTGGGTCAGTGACCTGTGCCCGGGTGGGCTAATCCCCGTAAAAAACAACAACAACAAAGCCGCGAGAAATTAAGGTTTGTTTGCATCTGGCAATTCGGCTCTCTCTCTCTGTTTGTCTATACAGTACAGAGTACAACATTTAACCCTTCAATATATATGAACAGTAAATAAGTGTTGCTTTCATATTCTTATGTAGAGTAATGACGATATGTTTTCACATGTGCTCACTTACATACGCGCAGTATCACGTTTTTCTTTAACATTAATGGTTTGCTACTTTTATTGTTCTATTTATTAACATTAAATAACATTACTTAAAACAACCATATAAATTTTACTACAGCTACAACCAGGGTCTTATTTTCTTGTTTTATAAGTAGAACCACTCAGTCACTGGTTTTGTTATCAACGAAAACAATGCCGTCTCATTTCCTCGTGTGTTTTAATATTCTACGTATTATTAATGAATTGTATTGCTCATTTTGCACACATAAACATTAATTCAATAAAAAAGACATTTAGTAATAAACAATAATGAATCTTTTGTACATAAGAGAAATGAAGCTGTTTACACGATTGTGCACGTCGTCTGAACATTGGCGAGCCGTTCAAACCCATCGAAATTCGAGTTTCTGCCGTCAAAATTTTAAATTATGTAGTGTTTTTTTTGTGTCCAAATAAAAAACGGTGAATTAAAAACTCGTAAAATTTGAGAAGCTACTGTACGACATTTAACCCTTCAATATGTCTTCAAAGAGACCACGAAGCAGTGAAAGTGGTGCTAACTTAAGTGCAAGTCACTATCTGTCCAGGAAAAGGGTGAATTTCCATGGTCCGGAAATTTCCATGGTCCGGCACCGGTCAGGCCCCGAGGTTGCCGGACTAGAGAGGTACAACCTGTAGTACATGCCAAGTTAAACATGAAACCCAGCAATATCATAACAAACACATGTACAATACTGTACAGTACACATGCATGTACAATACAAATACCAATGCAATGTATCAAATTGTCTGTGAAAGCAAGAGCTTAAAATCATGTATGGGAACATAATGCAACTCTACACTAACCTGTGCAATAAGAACATTACAAAGAACTCTTGCTTCTTGGTGGTCAACAACCTTAGGAGCAACCTTTTCAACAAATGTGATGGCTTCATTGGGGTCTGTGTGTTGTGTAATGACATCTCCTGCTATCTGTGCCAAGGACAGAGGGTTGATCCTGTAGGCAAATTAAAACATGATAAATTCATGAATGAAAAAGATTAAGCTTTCAATACAAATCATCCTAACTCAAAGAAAGGTATTATAAACTACAAAAATCACCATGGGGTGAAACTGACACACAACTTGCCATTTAATTGAAAACAGTAAACTACAGTAAACTACAGTACAGTACTGTAGTTTAGTTCTGGTAAAATTGTTCAAAACAACCAATTAATTTTTTTTTAATCTAAATTTTCTTGGGAATTCTCCTTCAACATCCAACAGTTGCTACATTAACCCATGAATAAGTCATCAGTCACATATAATTATATTCCGACCTCATATTTCCCTGATGAAAATTCTGGACTTTTGAACTTGCCATTTTTAATGTACAAAACAAATTCTTGGATATAATGGAAGAAAATTCTACTCTGACATCTAAATATCAAACTAAATTAAAAATTTCGTGTCACTGCAAGTAGTGTACAGGTACTCTTTACTCACTTATTTTCAAGCTCTATAATCAAGTTCTTGTACAGTTTAATAAGTTCTGTGCCTTGCTGCATAGATGGCTCCTTCACCAGCTTGTGAAGAGCCAAGGTCAACTGGTGCCATAATCTGAAAAAGAAAAATTTATATAAATATCAAATTCTGTAGATTGTACACTGTACTTTATAATATAGTAGAACTTCAATAATTTGTAAAAATCTGGGGATAGGGGTCCACTATAAGTAAATTTCCAAGTACAGTAGCTACATTATTTTTTATTAGGCATGAAAAACCTGCAGTATACTGTACTTGACTTTTTTTTACATAAAAAAATATTACAGTACAAAGATCTGATATACTGTATATTAAATCCTTCTTAGTTACCGGTAAATACTGTTTTGCATTTTGCAAATGCACTGAAAAAAAAAAACATTCTCACAACACAGTTAAATGTAAATGAGAATGCATGAGCACTGTCATGGTCACGTTGACTGCTAGTCTATTTAACTAATGATTCTTATTAAACTCCACGACCACAAAACATGAGTGGGTTAGCAACCCCTGAAGACGTGTTTTTCCCCATAGGCGCTACAATTGTGTTTCCCTCCTAGTTGCCCCGCCTTTGTGAAGACAGTTATCAATGCGTTGTTATTCCACTTTCTCCTGGGAAGCTCAATCTTGAATTAGTCTGTGTAAATCAACTCAAGTAATTCGCCAGACCTTTGTCAACTGAGGGTCATCTTTGAATGAGTAACAGTTAGAGTTGTTTGTAATTATTGTCATTGCGTGAGTAGCGATCACCGGCAACTCAGGGATATATATATATATATACCCGCGCATCACGCAGGGCGAGCGTCCCCTGACGCTCTCCAACGTTTCTCCAGATCCCCTTGTGATTCTTGCATCACTCAACAACTGCCCCGGACGCAGTAGATACTCAGCAGGGACCATATATGAAACGATGGCACCGATGCGGCTTGATTAATACGCTCCACTGCCTCTTGGTGCCAGACCCCAGACTCGCCATGTGTCTGGCTACCACCGACCACAACAACGGTCGTGAATCTCAGTGTTCTACCCTGGGATACACCCTGGAAGTATATGTCAACAGAGGGTGTTGTAATATGTATGTTAGGGATAATTAGTTGGAAATAATTATCCCATGTTGGGTAAGTGGACCCACGTATCGGCTGGTTTCAGTATTAACGTGTATGATGAGTAAAGTCTTGTATCTGTACTGTAATGCCACGTACCACCAGTAGGTGTGAGAAGTACAGGAATCTACAATGAGTGCCATGTACTATGTATTGTGAGTAGGGCCAAGGAACTAATCCTGCTATGCCATGTAATGTAACACCAGTAAGGTTGTGTGCAGTAAGAGTGTAAGATCTAAGTAATTACTGTTGAGTAAAGAAATAAGTAAATAAGAAATAAGTAAAGAAGAAAGTACGGAGTCTGCAATAAGCCCAGGAGGTGAGCCTGATAGTTATATACTAATAATACCTCTTTTTTCCCTTTGATTTCATATTAATAAATTTGTTCTTAGAGTATTTTAGGTGTAATCATTTCTCCCACAGTATTTTACCTTTATTTCCGTCCAAGTGACTTAATACCAGAATTACAATACCCATGTGCCTAGACCCTCGACCATGCTACCAAAAGAATATGTGACAGACCTGAGTAAGAGTAAGAACGAAAGACAAGAGAAGTAAGTTAGATAAGGGTGGTGTAGGTGTTCATATTAGCATATTAGCTCCGGTGGAAAACACATGCCCTTACAGTACTGTATACTCTCACAATAAATTAAGGCTTCTTTGTTGTTGTTTATTTAGTTGAAACTGTGTTCCCCTGACCCTGGTTACTCTGAACTGGACTCTAAAGTGTCTTGAAGTAACTTAGGTGTCACAAGTGCTTTCCCTTCCTAAAATTTTTCCTCACATAGGAAGCGCCACTTTTCTATTCACTCAAACTTTCTTGCAGCCTTTTTTACTCTTTATACCATGTTCTAGTGAAACTGGTTGGATCATGATGTAGTTGGTTGTGTATCAGATTCTATATATAGGGGGCCCCCCCCCCAAATTTGTGGATTTTTATTTCTCGGTCTTCTATTATTCACGGATGACACTCTGCATGTACCCAAGAATGTCTGTGGGTAGTTTTAAAGTTGCTGTCATTTTTGCAGCTGGGACAGGGAGCCATTTGTTCTAGAGACAGTAATTTCCTTTACCTGTACAGTATTGTAAATACATACATGTGTGTGTAGACACACACACATATACAACTACTCCCTGACTTACGACCTACTCGACTTACGACCGCCTCAGTTGTACCAAAATTTTGTCAAATTACGTATTTTCGAGTCCCGACATCAGTGATTGCGCTGTGTACTGACAAAACTTTTGTTTGTAATTCACTTTAAAATGGCTGGCAAACTTAAAAGTGAGAGTTTTGTGGTGCTGAGAAGAAAAAGACACCCATTTTAGATTTTCTATGTATTATTTAAGCATTTTCGACTTACGACCTGGATTTGGGTCCCTAACCCCGTCGTAAGTCGGGGAGCAGCTGTATACAAACAATACATATGCACAATCAGAACAAAATTTATTAAAAATATGAGTCTACTCTCAAGTCCGTGCTTTATTAATAAAGCATGGACTTGAGGGTAAACTGCCACATTTTTTAAAATTTATCTCTGATTATTTGTGAGTGTATTTTCCCATTATTATTTATTTGTATGTGTTGTGTGTGTGTGTGTCTACACACACACACATGCATACCCCTGTATATACAATACTGGTAAAAGAAATAATTGTCCTAAGGGCAAACACATAAAGGGAATATACATTTATTTTGTACACAAGTAAAAATGTGCCCCCCCTGGTCAGCAAATGTTATTTGCGGATTTGACAATTTACAGCCATTTTGAGAACCTAACCCCTGCAAATTTGGGGGCCCCCCCCCTGTAGTGCACTGGGAAAGTTAACAAAGTGGCTATTACCCCTTTTGTTTTCAGGAGTAGTTACAGTATAGTCAGTGCCAGCTCATGTTTGTTATTCTCACGTTTCATAATTACCAAGGTAATCTAACTTATCACCAAAAACTTAAAAAAGTTAAAATTTAGGTGTGCAAGTTAACGAGCAACATTAGGTACAATAACTTTTTAAAAGAAGAAAACTTTTCCTTGTCTCAAGAACATCCCAAAAATGGAGGAATACATTTTTACCAAACCTAAGGTATCCATAAAGGAAAAAATATAAATAAATAAATAAATAAAATAAGGTACCATACCAAACAACTCTCATATATTAGGATACATGACTTTTCCAACCTAACATAACATCAAGTAGAAGAAAAATGAATAGAAATAAAGTCAACTTAATCTTACCTATCATCACATAATAAAGCCTGGTAACTGTGAAATTACAGAAAAGCAAACGCCAGCCATAACCAACATACGTACTCACATAAAAAGTGCGGTAATAGCCACTTTGTCAATACTGTACATCACTCAAAAATGGTAATGTCAGAGAACAGCACTACAACCAGAAGGAATTGTTTGAGTTCATTCATTATTTCCATAGATGTTCTTATCATTACAGTAAGTATTTTAAAAGAGGCAACATTTACTAGAACCTAACCTAATCAACCAAAGACCCCTACCTAACCTTACCTAACGTCCTAGCTTGGGGGTCTTCCCCCGCCTTATTTAACAGAAAGTACTTATTTTGATATCTGGTACCGATGAAAGCAACTTTGCTGAAATGTCAGGGTGTAATTTTATTTTTTTATGGAAGTGAGAGTATGCGTGGAGCTAACAGGTCGGTTGTAAACAAAGAGAAACATGCAGTGACTCAGCAGTTTCTCAGAGGAGTACAGTACATGTATTTACAGTAAATTAATTTCCTCAGTTTTTCACCGGGTTTCACCCCACAATTTTCCTCATCCTTCATGCCCTGCAGGTGATTTATGATCATATAGAAAAAAAGGTAAAAAATAATACTGATACAGTAATTAAGACAGTGGATATTTAGCGGTGACAGGCTAAGTTCCTACTAATGCTATTTTACTGAGTGTGCTTTCTGATTGGCTAATCGCCCATTACCGGCAAAGAACACGAAAACAATATGTGATCGTGACTGGCAGCATTTAGCATACATTTTGCCGTGAGTTGATCGTTGTGTAGCTGTAAACATACCTAACCAGAAGGAGTTGTTCGATTTTGTTCATTTTTTCCACAAATGATCATTATAAACAAGGCGACATTTACTAGAACCTGACTTAACCAACCAAAGAAACCTACCTAACCTCCTAGCCAGTGGGGTGGGGGAGGGGTCTCCTGTCATATTAAACAGTTTAACAGAAAGTATTTAGCCAATCAGAGTGCACTTACAGTAAAATAGTGTTAGTAGGAACTAGGCCGGTCACGGCAAAATATCCACAATGTAATTAAAACAAAAAATTGTCGCCTCTTTTAAAATACTGTACTATAATGATGAGAATATCTGTGAAAAAAATGAACAAAATCAGACAACTCCTTTTGGTGGTAGTGCTGTTCTCAGACATTATCCCCCAAAAATTATCCAAACTTACTTAACCTGAACAATCAATAATAAAGGCTAATATGGAGGACTTCACAGCTGCTTCTCTCCATCTCAGTAACAGTAAGTTCACCCACAGCAGGTGTTAAGTTATGCTAGGTTAGGTTAGTTTAAGGTTAGGTTAGGTTAAAGTTAGGTTAACTTGAACCTTTAAATAAACACTTCTTTTAACACATTTGCTATAACTAAGACAGTGTCCACTATAAAACACAGTGAAATTGTGGAGTTTATAAATAAGTTTTCTATGAAAAATCAGCGGCTGTGGTCATAAATAATTAGTTATATAATGTACCAGTATCTAGTACTATAGTACTGTATTTCTGAAAGTTCCCAGACTCACTGATTGTTAACAAAGGCATGCGTGATTTTACACGTTATATACAAGAATAGGTAAATATTCGTTCATTGGCTGTTCTCGGGCTTTGGTACGAGAATAGGTTTTGTGGCACTTTTCGGTGTTTTACTCCAATCTGACCTTGATTTCTTGTGCAAATTAGCAGTCTTTGCAAAAAATTTTAATTTTTCATTTTTAACAGAAACAGCAAATTTGCACAAAAATGGGGGTAAAATATGAGTAAAACACTCCAAAACACACAAAAAGAAAGGAACCAACCCACAAGGAGGAGGATGAAAGGAGACAACTGACTCTGAGGAGTATAACCTCAGATAAACATGGCGGGAACCTGCGGACAGCCAATGGACGGATATTAACCCAAGAATACCCAAAATTTATATACATATTTGAAGTATTTATTAAACTGCAAAACAAGACAAAAACAACCTGAATATTGGCCTAAGCCACTACTAGTAATTAAAAATACTAAACCTTTAAACTGTATAAAATATCTTGGTTAACATGTAGATTAATGCTGCCAACGATTCTAGGAGGAACACACTGCTTTTCCACCATAATATTTGCTAATTGCTAGTGACAGTGTTCTCTTTTGGGGAACTGTTTCTTTTTTATAATGTATTCTATAATACCGTCGGCGAGCCGTGGGAGGGGGAGTGCATAGTGCGCAGGTCGTCTGAATAGCATTACCATGTTATATAATACAAGACCCAACTTTGAAAAAATTATGGGGAATACGTTACATGAGGTTAAATAAGGATAAGTTAAATACTGACATTAAATAACCACTGGGGGGGGTGTCAGGTTATGTTAGGTTAAATAAGGATAAGTTAAATACTGACATTAAATAACCACTGAGGGGGGGGGTGTCAGGTTATGTTAGGTTAAATAAGGATAAGTTAAATACTGACATTAAATAACCACTGGGGGGGGGTGTCAGGTTATGTTAGGTTAAATAAGGAAAACATTAGTTTCTTGTTTTCTCCCAAGCAAAAATCTCCAATAAAAAAACAGCAAAATTCATGCAATTTTTTTTTGCTAGCACTTAAGTAAGCGTTTACCAGTATCTTCCTGTATTACTGCACATGCTTTTATTGGAATCCTCATAAGGTGATGGTTGTGAGGGCCGGGAGGTATAAACTGACCACTGAGGACAACATTTTGAACCCTACTGGAGATCTTGCTCACTCACTTCTTATTGTAGTATTCTTCTAACTCTCCGAACTTCTTTGAGAGTTCTGTTGGAGAAGAATTCTTTTTTTCTGTGAGGTAAGTTTCAACTTTAGAACTCATCTTGGCGTTAACAACAAGGCCGACCCTCTGGGATGACACGTCTGTTTTGATGATTGTTGACGACCAGTGTTGCCAACTCGGATTTTCAAATGTCGCTAGGCTGGTACCTAAAAGTAGCTAAATGTCGCTAAATCTTCCATGGAAAGTCGCTAGCTATTATTCCCCCCCTTCAGTAATTTGATGCAAATAATATTTTCATAATGCCGACTATAATGGACGGAGTATAAATAAAATGCATTATGTAAAAATATCATTTTTCAGATTTTCTGTGAAATGTGGCGCAAGAATATTGCATATTATCCCAGAACACTTTGATCTTTTTAACTTGAGTTCACTACCTGCCTTGCTGTCACTAAAACATACTTTACACACTTCACTTAAGTGTTCTACCACACGAATAGAACAATGTTCAGCTACAAACATGGCCAGAGTTCCCTCCACTTTGTTTGCTTCACCAAGTTTCTTGAATGGTAAAATTGTCTCTTTCTGCACTAAACGGCTATTCTACTTTCTTGTGTTTTTTAGTGTTTTTGTGTTTTTCAATGTCGCACAACTTGGCAGACAAAGTACACTTGCAAAATTTACAAAATCCTTTTTTATTATCTCCTGGCACCTGTGGGGTATGGGATGTTTGGTTCACACTCAGGATGGGATGGAGAAAGGAAACTCACAATGTGCTCTCTATATACATGTTGTATTGGATGTACAATGCAGCTTGGTGCTGGGAAGGCAGCATGGTTACAAGCGTGATGTAGAGAGAGCTGGTTGGTGAGGACGCTCAGAGAAGGACAGCTTGTGGGTCGCCATGCTCGCCAGCGGGAGAGAGGACCGCCAGGCAGGCGGAGGAGCGAGGACCGCCAGGCAGGCTGAGGTGTTGCTGGCTGGTTGGTGTAGGTAGAAAGAGAGACAGATCACCACGAGGTCAGGTCTTAAATAGCGGGGGTAGGCGTGGCTTAGCAGTTGACCCCCGCTCCGTGGTGTATGGCGGCGCTGGTTGACCTAGACCACGAGGCATACACTGGGGAATTGGTGGTGTCGGCTAGGCAGCGACAAACAGCGTTTGTAGGGGAGAATTCCACTACAATACTCCCCCTTCCCTCCAGGCTGTGTAGGAGACTTGTTGTCTGCAGGGTTGCATAGCACATGTGAGGCAGAACGGCGGTGCGTGCCTCATGTGAGACAACGGCGATGGCGTGGATGAGCCGGTCGCTGGGGACAACTGTCTAGATACACAATATCTGTGGGAGTAGAGAGGGAGAATAAGGGTGTGTGGAGGCGATGAATATTGTGCTTCCCTCACGGCAGGTACCGAGTCGTCAGATGCGCCTGCTGGGGTGTGTGGGCCTGGGTCAGGAGCAGGGGCTGCGTCAGCAGAAACGGATGAGGGCTCGTGACAGCAGCTGGGTCCACGACAGCAGCAGGGTGCAGGACATTAGCAGGGAGTACCTGGGGGAGAAAAGAGGGGTGTGTGTGTCCGCACTCAGGAACAGAGGCCGCATCAAGGGCGGCAGGGGTTACTGCTGGGCCGGGGTCGGCGTCTGAGGCAGGACGGGTGTGCTGGGGTCGGTAGGACGTGGTGCTTAGGGCAGGAAGAGGAGCTGGTGTCTGCTTAGAGTAGCAGAGCTGCTCTAGGATGTCTAACCTGCGGTGTAGAGACAGTAGCTGTAGAGCCGATGAGAGCTGCTTCTGGGTGGATAAGCCAGTCTTCCATGTTGCTTGAAGACTGGGAGCGTGATCAGTTTCTCCTCCATCCTGTGTGAGTGCGAATCTCCGGGAGTCACCATTTGTGGGGTATGGGATGTTTGGTTCACACTCAGGATGGGATGGAGAAAGGAAACTCACAATGTGCTCTCTATATACATGTTGTATTGGATGTACAATGCAGCTTGGTGCTGGGAAGGCAGCATGGTTACAAGCGTGTTGTAGAGAGAGCTGGTTGGTGAGGACGCTCAGAGAAGGACAGCTTGTGGGTCGCCATGCTCGCCAGCGGGAGAGAGGACCGCCAGGCAGGCGGAGGAGCGAGGACCGCCAGGCAGGCTGAGGTGTTGCTGGCTGGTTGGTGTAGGTAGAAAGAGAGACAGATCACCACGAGGTCAGGTCTTAAATAGCGGGGGTAGGCGTGGCTTAGCAGTTGACCCCCGCTCCGTGGTGTATGGCGGCGCTGGTTGACCTAGACCACGAGGCATACACTGGGGAATTGGTGGTGTCGGCTAGGCAGCGACAAACAGCGTTTGTAGGGGAGAATTCCACTACACACCTCCAGAAGCCAATTTTTGTATCTGTCATCTCTGAGCCATTCCTTCCTAAATCGCTGCGAATACTGTGGCTTACCCTTTTTCTATTGGGACTATGAAGGGTTCAAATTAATAAACAGCATGCAAACAAGCGGAAACTTTCCTTGATGGTTTTTGGCAAAGCGGGTGAACAGTGTCGGGGCAACTGTATGGAGTCTATGGGTCACCCATGGTGGAGGCGGATGACAAGTTTGGAACCACGCAGGCTTGATAGAATTAATTCTATAAGATGTTTTGCTAATATTCTTTAAAATTTAGCGTATTAATGAAATTCATATTGCATATCTGACAGAGGTAAGTTACCCAGGTGCTACAAAGGCGAAGGTAATAGACAAATAAATGACGACACGGCAACATTAGCCATGGACGGGCTGACATCAAGTGATCAGGAAATAGACGTGTCCCTCCTTCTGTACCGCGACCCGTTCAAATGTAACCCCGTTGCTATATATTATGGCTCGAAATTAGGAAAACTTGAGTTTTCATGAACAGTCCAAAAGTATCCAGAAAGTCGCTAGATTTCTGTGGATATCTCTAGATGTGCGACAAGTCGCAAATCGCTCTAAAGTGTCGCTAGAAAAAAACAAAAAGCTCTAGATCTAGCTACAAAGTCGCTAAGTTGGCAACTCTGTTGACGACGGTCTCTTACCTCGCCACAGTTAACCACTTCCCCTAACTTTGTATTTTTTTGAAGGAAATTATCCATTTATATGATAGAAATATTTACCTAATAATTGTATGGTAAATATTAAAAAATAATTAACAATAACTGGTTCAGTACTAAAAATTTATTCTTTAACTTATACGTTGTCATTCTCATCCTAATATTTGCATTATATCACAATTCTTTATATTCCATAACATAGAATATATATAATTAACATAGAATAAATAAATATAAAGGATTTTAATATAATTCAGTTGTGCTTTCTGGAACACATGAAACCATCAGTTCATGTGTTACCTATGAGTGAAATGTGTTGGATGAACATAAACGGTGTGTCAGTAGAACGTCTGTATCGGAATAAATAATTTTTTCTCTGTATATAGTAATATTCAATTGTTTTATTCATTGGTAATGTAAAAATAAGATTTTTTATGTTTTACAGAGTAATTCTCCTTAAGGTGCATAAGAGAATAAACAAATAAACTATCACATTGCCTCACCTACTTTGGCTCGGGTTTGATAGGTTCAGGGTGTGTGAAGACATGACTGGTTTTATATTTTTTGCTATCACCCAGTAATGTCATAGATCTACTGATCCTTTTCCCACTGTAATCTAGATTTCACTAGCTTCCCATTTTTATGCAAGACAATGTGTAGAAAACTTGATATTATGTTCTATACTGTTCACACTTATTTATAGAGGCAAATATACTATTCATGTTTCTTCCTATTTCTTCCAAGGTTTTAATTTTTTCTCGTCCTTAAAATAAAATGTAGTACAGTAGAGTTCTGTAGGTCGATTCTTTACCAATGTGAGGTATGAGCAATCATTACTTGTAATTCGTTCCTATCTTTTTTTATTTCCTACTTAGTAACCTTTTACTCGGTTGTCAATGTGTATCTGTTGCTTTAGTAATCTAATACCTGTACAAGCATTCACGTGAGCACCATGAAAATATGAAAAGCAGTGTCAACATATTTTGAGTTACTGTAGGGTTATGGGATATTGGTTCACAATCAGGATGGGTTGGAGAAAGGAAACTCACAATGTGCTCTCTGTTTTATACAGAGAGCACATTGCAGTGGATGTACAATGCAACTTGGTGCTGGGAAGTGGCAGCGTGGGTACAAGCGTGGAGTAGAGAGAGCTGGTTGGTGAGGGTGCTCAGAGGAGGTGTTGCTTGCTGCGGCTTTAGCTAGAAGAAGGGAGGTCACGGCGGGGTGAGGTCTTATATGGCGGAGGTAGGCGTGGCTTGATAGTTGACCTCCGCCTTGTTAGGCAGCGCTGGATGCTGACCTTAGACCACAGATCTCGTGTATCTGAGAGCTGCCTCCTAGCGGCCGGCTCATCCATGCCCTCGCCGTTATGTCCCACATGTGGCATGCACCGCCCGTTCTGCCTCACATGTGGCACGCAACTCTGCCAACCTCCAGCCGCACCCGGAGGGGAAGGGGAGTATACATTGTGGTGGATTTCTCCCCTACAAGCACCGAACCTTCCCGAATTCCCCAGCCTACGCCTCTAGCGCCGCCCACGGAGCAGGGGTCAACTATCTACCCACGCCTTCCCCCGCCTTATAAGGCCTGACACCGCTGTGACCACTCTCTTTTCTACCCAGTGCCACCAGCAAGCAACACCACCTCCGCGCCAGCCTGGCGGCTCCCGCTCCCACCAGCGACCTTGGTGTCCCTCAAGCCGCGTGTCCCTCCTCTGGGCACCCTCACCACCCAGCTCTCTCTACTCAATGCTTATTACCATGCTACCTACCCAGCAACAAGCTGCATTGTACATCCAATACAATATGTATACAGTGAGCACATTGTGAGTTTCCTTTATCCATCCCATCCTGAGTGTAAACCAATATCTCATAACCCCACACATGCACCGATCTCCATGAATATTTACAGGGGTGTTTCCTTGATAAATACACAACACTAAAACTTTGAACAGCTTTGTAGGACCATTTTTTTTATTTTTGGAGGGCAACGGTCACACCCTAACGGCGGGGTGAGGTCTTATTTGGCGGAGGTAGGCGTGGCTTGATAGTTGACCTCCGCCTTGTTAGGCGGCGCTGGATGCCGACCTTAGACCACGAGGCGTAAGCTGGGGAATTCGAAGAGGGGTCGGCTAGTCAGCGACAAAATGAATGATAGAAGGAGACAACTGCTGGGAAATGTACAGAAGGATAAAAGAAGTGAGGCTGAAAAAAACTTACATTGGCATAGGAATATAAAAAGCAAAAATAAGACCCTGTTTAAGGCCAAACTTAAATGTGTTAGTCAAAATATGTAGAACTGGACAATGATAATGACTGAATTAAAATAAGAAGTCAGTCAATTTGACTAAGGACAGCTGACAAAACCATGAGAGGCTTGTTTCCAGTAGAGTCCTTATACCAGCAGCATCTGGTGTTCATAGGGCCAGGCACTCACCCATCCAAGTACTAACCAGACCCAACATTGCTAAGTTTGCTGATCAGACAAGAAGCGATGTTTCTAAGCTACCACTTTTGGAAACAAATACTGTATTGAGGTAACTGTGACCAAATTGAACAATAGAGGGTATGAAGGTTTGTAGGGTTGAACATAATGGGATCACATATTTGATTAAAATGGATAAATTTATTTGTTACAGAGGACACCTTCCCAGTGAATAAATAAATATATATATATATATATATATATATATATATATATATATATATATATATATATATATATATATATATATATATATATATATATATATATATATATATATATATATATATATATATATATATATATATATATATATATATATATATATATATATATATATATATATATATATATATATATATATACACACACACTTCATTTTTAGTCCATATAACACGCGGACTTTGAACATATAATCAACGACCTCACCAGCCAGGATTCGAACCCTGTCAGTGGGTTGGTCGGTAGCGTTCCCTAGTCCCACCCAGTAGGTCGAGGGTTCGAATCCTGGCTGGTGAGGTCGTTGATATATATATATATATATATATATATATATATATATATATATATATATATATATATATATATATATATATATATATATATATATATATATATATATATATATATATATATGCAAGTAAATCACTGTAGGTGCACGTGATCTAGGTATATGCTGATAACCACAAGGAAAGAAGAAAACATGAAGTTCCCAAGCGCTTTCGTGTAATTCACATCTTCAGGGGTGAGTACAGACTGTATTCACCCCTGAAGATGTGAATTACACGAAAGCGCTTGGGAACTTCGTGTTTTCTTCTTTCCTTGTGGTTATCAGCATATATATATATATATATATATATATATATGCAAGTAAATCACTGTAGGTGCGCGTGATCCAAGAATATGCTGGTAACCACAAGGAAACAGGAAAACACGAAGTTCCCAAGCGGAGATTCAGAGTGCATTATCCATTTTAGAACAACATGGTTGATTAGTAATAAAGTGCATGCAAAGTTTTATTAAAGATAATTTTTAACAGAATAAAGAATAAGAATAGGCAATGAGTTATAGCACCTAATGGATTTAGAAAAAAAGTGAAACATGAGAAAATATCGTTGGTTAAAGAATTTTGTGCATCTAGTTTTTGTGAATTTTAAAAAAGCTTTTGATAATGTAAAACACCAAAAAATAATTGCAACCAATAATGAACTAACAAGTGGAATAATTTTTGTACTTGGAAAATAACTTATCTTGTTAAAAATTACCATATTTAAAAAGGACTACAGTAGGTCAAGAAAAATAGATAAAAAATTTTAATCTTAAGAGACCTGTTAAAGTTCAATATATGGTCAATGATATTCTATAGGTCAGAAGCCTGGATGTTTTCAGCAGATATCAAGGCTAGGAGGCCTTCAAAATGTGGTGCTACAGAAGAATGCGATGCTCAGTGATTTTTAATGATAGAAAATGCAAAGTAGTACCCTACCTGTACTAAGATTGGCAACTGAGAAATACTGAAAATTTACAAATAAGAAATATTGAGATTGGCTGTACAATTAGGGATGAAGGGATACAGTAATTGCACAAACTAGAGCAGATGAATGAAATTAAAAGCGGGTCCCTAAAAGGGATGCAAAACCTGGAAAGATCGGTAAAGAATGCCTGAAAATTAATGAGTGGAGGCGCTGTTGTCATGACTCTCAGATATGAGGATGGGACCTTGATTGAAATGAAATCCTTGTGAAGAATGTCAATGAATACTGCAACACACTATACACTGTCATGTATGGAATAAATGAGAATTACACACCTCACCAGCTGATTGACTCAAAGATCTATAACTGATATAAATAATCATAATACAGTAATGTATATCCAATATACACTAGTACAGTAATCAGAAACTACAATCTATCACAATCAGAGTATACAGGACTTAATCCAATATAACAGAGGAAAAACACCGAAGTATTGTAGCAGCAAAGACCAAGGTAATATCATAAAAACAGAGCTGCAAGCATGTCTGCAACCGTCAGCCAACTTTTGACCTTCATTTACTTTGGGAGGCTACATGGTGCAAAATGTCACATGAGGGTTGGGGGTCTACTTAAATCATTGCAACTCATAAGCAGCTTGTATGAGTTTCTTTCTACACACTGCTAAAGACAACATTTCTAGGATTGTTAATGTTTTCTTCAGGCACCTGTTCCTTACACTCAGAATCTAGCTCCATGGCGTATGCAGCCGAGTTCGTATCACATGAGGAATAACGATACTACGATAAATGTATAATAATTATAAAATTTATAATTCATTACAAGGAAAAACTTAATGCCCTTCATAATATCTACAATTGAAAAAAGTGTTGGTTGAAAGTAACAGCAGCCAGTCCTTCATACATACTAATGAACAACACTCGTCTAGTTACTGATACTTACCAAACTTAGGTCTCTGAACTACCGGTAACTACCAGATGCACTGCTCATTCAGTCAAAACAGCAATACATGTATTTTATTTTGAAAATCAATTAATGGTTTTTGTACAGATTAAGACTGACTTGCTGGAACTTATTGTATTTATAAGCAAGTGAACTGCACATGGTAAATTTTATTAAGGAACATTATAATAGTTAAGAAACATAAAAAGGACACTAAAAGCAATCCTAGTGGCACGGGCAATCCCCATTGGAGGTTCACGGCACCATCAGTTCGAATAACAGGCTTTGTGTGAAATATAACAAAGTCTAAAATTGCTTTTAGTGTCCTTGTGGCATGGTGGTAGCGTTCCCTGGTCACACGCAATAGGTCGAGGGTTCGAGTCCTGGCTGGTGAGGTCGTTGATTTTACTTTATATATATATTTTGTCAAATTACGTATTTTCAAGTCCCAACGTCAGTACACAGACAAAATTTTTGTTTGTAATTCACTTTAAATGGCTGTTAAGCTTAAAAGTGAGAGTTTTGTGGTGCTGAGAAGAAAAAGAGACACCCATTTTAGATTTTCTATGTATTATTTAAGCATTTTCGGCTTACGACCATTTCGACTTATGACCTGGAGTTCAGTCCCTAACCCCGTTGTAAGTCGGAATATATATATATATATATATATATATATATATATATATATATATATATATATATATATATATATATATATATATATATATCAGAGTCAAGTTGATGTGAAACCCCCTCCCCCCTGTAACTGCCTTTGTCTCATTGCACCGGTGTTAGACATCTGTATCACGCTGTACTGGTGTACATAAGACATCTGTGAATAAATGATTACAAAAACCTATGGGGGTTTCACATCAACTTGACTCTGATTAAGACAACATCTTAAATGTATTGTAACATGGAAACTATAAAGAATCTGACATTTTACCATAGAGACATTGTGGTTTAGAATTGTCCAAGGATTTCATCCTCCAATTTAATGAACTCTTTGCTGAAACACACACACACACACAGAGTAAACCCTTAATTTCCAAAGTCTTCAAGTTCAGGATAATGATATACCTCGATAATGTAATTTATACCCATCAGTTTACAGTTTACATTTCCAGGCTGCCTGTTTATTGTAAAGGTAATTCAATGTATTATTTAAGCATTTTCGACTTACGACCTGGATTTGGGTCCCTAACCTCGTCGGGAGTCGGGGAGGAGCTGTATATTATAATAAATTGTGCTTCTTTGTTTTATCTTCAGCCTACACATGAGGGCTTTGTGTGTGTTGGGACATATACTCATATGGCATAGTTCACTATATACAGTAGCTAAAACAACTATCTGTGCATACTTTGTGGGAAACAATATGAGACCATGGACGATAAATATTGGTATATGAGGGCTGCCATTAGTCACACATACAATTTAGGAGCATATCGACCCCCACCTGCACAGATAGTTGTTTTAGCTACTGTACATTGAATGTTAAAAATTAAAACTGGCCAGAATGATCAAAAGAATGCTGAATAACTAGGCTTAGGTGGGCAGACAATGCATGGATGGATTTGGTAGCCACAACTACAGTAGTCTATCCAGTGCTGATGTTATCCTTATCTCCTACCTTGAAATCATAGTCTGCCTCTGCATTTGGCTTTATTTCGTTCATGACAATGGCAAGAATATTTTTGTATTTATCACAAAACACCCTGTGCAATCTTTGGAAATTATTCTAGCAATCATGTAAAGTTTAATTTTCAGGTCTACTACTGGAACATTTGAAGCAGAACACAGGATTGCCAGGACACAAGGCTCCCAAGACACAGCTTCTCAGGATGCAGACAAAATGGCTGTAACTCATCATAACAAAATAGACCTGATGGTTACAGCAGTTACCAGTAAAGACTGAAATCAGTGACTAACTAGAATACCTGTACTAGTATACTTCTCAACTCTCATTGCTCTGTTGCAGTGTAAGGAATAATAAAATAGACAAAAAAATAATCTGCAGACAAAAAAGAATATGCCTAGGAAGATATCACAGCATAAAAAGAAAAATATTATGAAAATAATGAGGGATGCAAGAGCAACATAAACACAAGCACTAACTATCAAAAATAGCGTGCCCGTAGCCACAACAGGGTCGACCATCTCTACTGAAGAGCCGGGTTATTGGTCAATTACTCCTTAATATCATACACATAATGAAGACTCCAAATCCTTAGACTAATAATTGGGGTTGTGAGAGTGTATTATTGTTAAATATAATGGGCTGGGGCAAAAATTTGGGGCCTGGATACATCCCAACTTCTTCATATTAGCTTTGATTTCCAGGAATGTAACCTGCATGGAAATTAAGGGTATACTGTAAATTTATGATCTGTGGAATGTAACAGATTTCACATATCGAACTCAGATTATTAAAAACTGTACAATATTGTATTTAGTTGACTGTTAGTTGTACAACTAGCACATACCATAATTATTCCTTTTATCAAAAAAGGTTAATACTTTGAGGAATGCATGACAAATTCTATTATCAGGTTTCAATTTGTTTATAAAAATACATAACTTACAGTTGTTTATATTGAGGTCATCTTAGTTATGGGTACTAACATAACGTTAGTTCTGTACTGTATACCAAAATCTTTGTAATTTTTTTTACAAAAAGAACTCCACAACACATTACAATAAAACCTATCTATTAACCAATATTGACTTTTTGTAAAAAATTAAGAAAACCCCCCTCTTGTACATATACTGTATCTTCTAAAAGCAGCTAGTCTAAAAGTTATATTCCAATATTTGTACAGGAATAATGTTCTAATATAATTGAAAAGAATTTATTCTTAAACATTTCATAGAATCACTGACTGGAGTAACTTTTAAAAATTGCACTTTATCATCATTCACTTCCACGTAGCTAAACCTTAAAATGATATACAGTATACTGTTCACGAGTTACCCCCATTTTCTTTGGATCACTATTAATATATTTCATGTCACATTACAAGTTATCATAAACTATTCCACATATTCATTTGCTTCACTTGTCTTGGATAAATCAAATTAATAATATCAGTGTTAAGCTTCAAGTATTCACCAGGAGCATTGAGCTCACTCACTTTCTCAAGAACTGATTCAGTTTTTAGTTGCGGAGGAGGAGGAGGACGTGACTTCAGGGTCTTCGTCTTTGTCATTATCCTTTTCACCGTCATAAAATTCATTATCAGGTTCCACCCTGTAGAGTAAAAAAACAAACTCAGTGTAATGTGAATATAGTTGGGTAGGTGACAAACAACTGACACATAGGTGGGTTTTACAGCTTACTGAATGTGTTAAGTTATTTCACACCAACCCTGCATTATCCAGGGTATTGGCTGAGTAGTCCACTTATTATCCTTCAAAAGGCAGTAATGAGTAGTGGATTAAGTAAAAGTAACACAGGCACTAAAATAACAACAAAGAAGGAATTTTTTCCACACTTCAATTTTTCAGCACCATGCATCAAATTCCACCCCAATAAACTGATAATAAAATATGGTAGCAAGTTATATATATATATATATATATATATATATATATATATATATATATATATATATATATATATATATATATATATATATATATATATATATATATATATATATATATATATATATATATATAGAGAGAGAGAGAGAGAGAGAGAGAGAGAGAGAGAGTGCATAGAACTACACAAAATAATTCTCTTCACCTCTTATCCTCTTCACTGAGATGCAGCCGGGAATCAGGATCTGGTTCATTTTCCTCCTCATTAATATCCATCCCATCTTTTGGCACATCCTGCATCTGTACACTGAATAATAAAGAGAATACACATTAGCAAACAGAAAAAAATTCTTGTGACTATTCAAATGAACTCCAGCTTTGAATATGACTCCTTTGGAGAGATGGGAGTGTGGTGGCAAAGGGAACACATGCAGACATTAGAAATTTTACTCTTAACATGTGTTTTGACCTTTCCCTCAAATGAGGAGGACTGAAAGGTCAAAACATGTCAGTGTAAAATTCTCAACACTCCAAATTCTTGTTATATTCACTAAATGCAAGTGATTTACAAAAGTTTAACAATACAGTACTGTATAAATAAAGGAGTACCTGGGTGCATGTTGAACCATTCTGAGGTTATCCTGTACATGCTTAACAATAGCTTCCAGGTACTGTCGACTGTTCCCATTTTCTTGACGGGTTATTACTTCAGGGTGAAGGGAAAAATCCGGAGCAAAATACTGAAAGTATTCTGAAAAGTCAGGTAAAAACTATTTAGTAGTTCTGATGTTATTTAAATGATGAAAGGACTATAAACACAGTATATATACATGAGCAGCATCAATAGGAAATCAATATACAGTGGTCCCTCGATTAACGAACGGTCCAATTAACGAATTGGCTCCCATAAGGATTTTCAATTCTATTAACGAACAAAACTTTGATTAACGACAGCCTTATGAGAAACACGCTTTGTTGTGCGCATCAGCTGATCGGCTAGTCCGCTAATACAGTAATTGGTTCTATGTTTACATTCGTTTCCAGTGGAGTAAATATCAAGAAAATTGTGCTCTTGAATATTTTGCATTTTTTTATACAGTTAACCCTCACTTTACGCGGTTAATGTAACCCGGAGGGTACCGCGGAAAGTGAGGAACGCGTAAAGTGAATAACATAACATATGGGATTAATTGAAATGGAGTCCGGGCCGATCCCCAAACTCCACTTTTTGACGACACACAACTATGTTGTAGTAAAAATTTTATCTTAACTTTATGATGGTATGAAAAAACAAGTAATATAGAAGAGGTTAGGTTAGGAAAGATAAAGGTTAACATAGGAAAAATAAAGGTAAGGTTAGAAAACTAAAAATTAGGTGTAACACTTACGGTAGTAGAAGAGATGGGTCGGCATACAGGGATGGAGGCTGGTTCCGAGGCAGAGGGCAGATTACTGGCCCTCAGGTGAATCACCATTACTAGGTGAATCACCATCACTGTCACTTACAGTTGTCAGGGCTTCCCTGACAAATCCCTCAAAGTCAACTTCACTGTCACTATCACTGGCTTGGGCTGGCTGTGGTGGGTTGCGGGCGAAGAAATCTGTTATGCTTTGCTGACGGCTGGCGTTGATGTTGTCGTGATACACCTTGATGTACGGCTCCATAGCCTGCACCAGCCGGGTATGGAAGACTTCATAGCGGTCATCGTCATTGTCGCGGGAAAGGAAGGACTTCATCTTCTCTGCACACTCCATGGCACCCTTAATATCACTATGACTTAAATTGTGTTCTTCGGAGACTGACGCACCTTCTTCCTCCTCTTCACTGACGTGTTCTTCTTCCAACATCTCGTCGGCAGTCACTTCAGGATCTCTGATCACCTCCAGGATGTCGTCGTTGGTGGTCTCGGAGAAGCCTGGAACTGTAACAGTCTGCGCAGCTTCTCTGGCAAGGTCCACTGCTACTGCAACATTCTGAACCTCACCAGTCACAGATTGACTCCTCCTCTCACCTGGTATTCCATGCAACACATGTCTCCATGAGTGATGAATTGTAGCAATAGACAGCTGATCCCATGACTCCACCAAGAAGTCCACAGCTTTCTTGATGTTAAATACTCTCCAGAATTGTTTGAAGAGTATTTTTTGCTGTTCTAACTGTTGATCCTCATCTTCTTCGCTCTTGCTACCGGTGGTGGTGTCACTCAGGTTACGCAACTCTTCCCTGGTGTTGGTGTAGTCGTTCAGGAGCTGGAATTTTTTTGTTGAGAATGCAGCTTTCACATTGCAAATCAACTCCTGGTCCATGGGCTGGATTAAAGACGTAGTGTTGGGAGGAAGGAAGACCACTTTTACGTTGGGGTGACGATCTAACAGTAGGGGCGAGTGTCCTGGTGCTATACTTCACCTCGTAGCTTAAGGAACGTCGTGTCTTCTTTGGTTTAGTGCCGCTGGGTCCAGGTAAGGAAAGGTTTCTCTCTGGGGGTTGTGGTCCGGCGGAAGCCATTTTACGGAACAATGGATGCGCGTTTACACGGAGTGGCCTTGAGGGATGAAACTGCCGCGGCTAGGTCAAGCGTCGTCTTTCCTCCCTCCCTCCCTCCCCCGGGTGGACACGTCATAATACTTTAAGCCAATTACAGCTAGCAGCAGAGGGGGGTAGGGATGCATGGCCAATCACAGGTCTGATACGTCATATGACGTCAGTGATAAGGCAACAAAGACACACACTGCGCAACCTTACCGCGCCGCTTGCCCAAGCGGAGGGAGGAGGAGGGAGAGGCAGGCAGGCAGGCGGGCGGGCGGCGCGAATCTAAAAATAGCGTCGCACCGGACACTCTCCGCGTAATGTGAGCACGTGAGGTTCTGGCAAGGCACCGCGTTAACATGGAAACGCGGAATGCGGGACCGCGTAAAGTGAGGGTTAACTGTATTAAAATTATTGGTCATTCTAATTTAGGTAATATATTGATAATATATACAATACAGGGTACAGTTTTTGTGTGCCCTTCAGCTGATCGAATCACCCACCAACGCCTCTCAGTTTAACTTTGTTCACAGTGGAGTGAACATTCAGTTTGTTGGTCTCTTGAATATTTTTTGCATTTTTACATTAAAATTATTGGGTCATTCTGAAATTTAGTTAACACATTGATAATATACAGTACAGAAATTATTATGAAACATGAAGAAGGCATTAGAACCAATGCACTCTGTAAAGAATATGGCATGTCATCATCAACTGCCTCTACAATCAGCTGTTTGATATGTAAACAAAGCTGCTGGGAATACGACATACACACCTCAAAGTAAGTTAAAATGTAGTATAGTATTCTATTGGTTTTTATTTATTATTATACAGTACTGTATACTGTACAGAACAGTACTGTATTTAGTTTATATTTAATGTTTTGTTAATTCTGTTACCAGTATACAGTACTTTGTACGTATACTTTTTCTGTGAGTTGGAACCAATTACCCAATATCCCATTGAAATAATAGATTCAGTTAACGAACGACTCTGTGGAACCAATTGTGTTGGTTAATCGAGGGACCACTATACAGTACTGTACTACTGTACCTGTGTTATAAGGTATTTCTGTTGGCATGTCTGTGTCAACCAGTAGCCCTGTCTCATAGGCCCAACATCTTGCCACATTTCTGGGAGTGTAACCACCACCACCCAACACTAGCAACGGAACACCAAACTTTTTTGTGAAGTTTACACATTCACTGAAGGAAAAAAGTTGAAATAAATATCTAAAATAAATTCATTAGTGAATCTGAAACCATTATTTCAAATGTTAGACAAATTTTAAAGGTGTACTGCACCACAAAAACTCATATACCTTGATAAACATAAATATAGATATTACATATACCAACAAACCCAAAATCTCAAACCTTGGTCCCACTCAATCGGCAAACAAACACAAGAAAAAATAATGGAGGCTTCATATGACAAAAACAAGAGAGGAAACAATAAAAGACAGATAAAGGGTATAAGGAAAAAAAAAGCCTTGAAAGACAAACTGAGTAATCACATTTTGAAGACCAATACTCACTCACTCACTGCTGTTTCTTTACTAACAAGTACTGGACATATTGGAGTTATTTAATCAATCAAACTTTCATTGTAATCTAAATGGTGAAAGAGAAATTAAGAAAGGAAATGCATTAAAAGACAAAAGTACAATATGCTAAAACAATAACAGCCACAAGAATATAAAAAATATTAGAGTTAGCAGGACTGTGTGTGTGTGTGTGTGTGTGTGTACTTTAACAGTGTCATGTTGAGTCCAGCTCATTAAAAAACAGTACTTACAGTTCTTTTTTTTTATGGGTGTTGGAATCCATTTAAATATGACTGAATGAAGAAGTACTGTACTGTTAATGCTACTCTGACCACTCATTTTGTCACAGTTTAAGTGAGGCAGGTAGAAGCCCTTGAATACAGTATTTCCACCAGGGAAAACACCTTACAAAACCACAGCCAAGGTAACAATGTGGTATACAGTTTTAGGGTGGCCAATGAAACACTATCGGTGTGAAAAATCTCTCGACTTTCCCACAATGGTTCTCCTGTAAAGACAAACATAATAATTTTCTACTACTACTGTATCTACATTCTCAACACAAACATGTCAAAGCTGAAAAAACTCTTACCCGTGGCCTTTGGTGGAGAGTGAGAAACAACCTAAACGGTCACCTGAGAGAGAGTCTGCACCACACTGGAGGACAATTGCCGTTGGACGATAGAACTCTATAACAGCCTGTTAAAATGATATAGAAAATATAATCCCCCAAATCAAACAATTACTTAAATAATCAGTTTCCTTGTGTTTACCCCCACACCAAACCATTATACAGTAAAATGTCAATTTAAAGCGACACCCACAATTAAGGACGCCGTATCAATTTAAAGAGAATCTTTCCTATTTTACGCGAGTCAAATCTGGTGCATCATACGGAAATACACACTATTTTAAGTTTCGTGCCTAATGTTTCCCGCTAGACGCGTCTCTGGGCACGCTACAAGGCTGCCTGCCACCCTCCCACATCCCCAGTTCTCATGCTGACGCTCTAGTGAATGGACATACTGTGTGACACTATCTCCTTCTACCACGTGCATCAAACATCACCACTATGTCCAAGAGGCCAGCTACTACATCATTAACTTCCCAAAAGACCAAGAAATCAAGGCAGACAATTACACTGGAGCAGAAAATCTAAGCCTCCACAGCCACACCATTAGACAGTGATGTGGATGATGAGCTGGTCGAGTTGGGCTCTGCATCTTCAGAGGATGACTTGCCTAACTAAAGGTGAGTGAAAATCTATTTTTGATAGCAAAAAGTAATTAAAAACTAAGTTGAGAGGAACGTGAAAGTGCATGGTGAGTGGTAGGGATGGAGTGAGGCAGACGAGAGGCGGGTGGTGTGCGGCGCCAGTGCAACCACCTTCTCACATCAGCTGATCGCTAGTAAACAGACCATTTCGCATCCCATAATTTTAGCTGTGTTGAGTTATGAGTGTTTGTTTTAGCATAATACTAAAAAAACATTGTTTTGTTTATTCTAGATGGGCTGAGGTGCATCTGGGTAGACTCTCAGTTGGGGCAGGGGGAGGGCCAGTGACGCGAGGCAGCAGACAGTACAGTACCACACAGTGACAGTACCGTCCAGCTCTCAACTCGACTGCAGGGAGTGCTTGCTGCATATATATCATTACACCATATATTTTTCTCATATTTATTAGTTAATAAAAGTCTTTTTAGTATTCTGTGTTTCTCTCAAGTACCAAACTAAATTATTATATTGAAACAACACTTTGATTCAGTGCGAATTTGATTTAAAGCGACCTCTCTTGGAACGTATCTCGCGTTATATCGACGTTCTACTGTATTCACCAACATGATCGTTGAAGCACGTAACATAGCTTGTCCTTTATTACTCAGACAAAGACACTGATGACATTGAACTGGGCTTGTTCTTACAACAACTTTGTGATATAAAAGCATTAAATAATAACAGTACATGGCACATTAAAGGAAATATGAATCTTCAATTTTCTAATTAAGTTCATCAAGATTTTTGCGTACTGTACTCTAAAACTGAAAATGTGGAAGGTCAATTAAAATATGATAAATTAATATTCTTTATGCACATGATTTGTATTTTAGCATAAGTTTGGTAAGTCTTGTTCTAAATTAACATCTAAATTTGCAGATGGAGAAAACTGTTGTATTTACCTCAATAACAGGCTTAAAGACCTGGGTGTAGCTCGAATCATCAATACCTTCCTTGAGGGGCACATTAACAGAATAATATCTGCCACTCTCATGTCCAATTTCAAACATGTCACCTAAAAAAAAAAACCTATTAATTGTTAAATTGACAAAAAAAAGCTTTAATAAATAGGAAAATGGTAAAATACAAAGGGTACTGTAACTATGTGACACACCACCAAATGATGTTCCTATGTGAATGAAATAAAGAATCAAATATAGGAGAAAATTTAATCCAGGACTTTTCCCACAGTAATAGTTTGGCAGCACATTTTTCACCACACTCATAGACTCCAAAGAGGCAAGCAAAGAACAAAATGTACATGTTAGGACCATAATAAAAAGTTCCCCAAATTATGTGCTAAGACCTTAGGATGCTAAGGATGTTTAGTTCTACTCTATAAGACCAACCTGTGCCAGGGAAGAAGTAGTTTCCATATTTGTGGAAGGACACTGTCATGACTCTGTCAGTGAGGTAGAAGGCTTCCTGTACTCCATCACCATGATGGATGTCAATATCAATGTACAGTACTCTGGGGTGATACCTGAAAGTAACAAATAATTTTTACCCAGAATCTGAAAAAATACACCTCTGCATACTGGTACAAATTCAAGTTTACTTCCCATTGGGAAAGCAAAGTAACAAATTTTACCCAAACACTCATAAAAGTTAACCCATTTCTTCAAGCATTTTGCAAATATTACTGCAGTTAATTCTGAACACTGATTTTGCCTTCCTTGCTCCTTTTTCTTTTAAAAATGCATAGAAACACATATTCATGCATCCACACACACACACATTTATATATTTTACCTTCTGCTTACAACAATTCCTATAAAATTTCCCATGTCTCATTTCCTCCTTTAAGATCCCCAACCATTTCTGTCAATCTTCATCACAATTTTACTCTTTTTTGTCTCTATAAGAAATCACCAAGTAGCTCCTTAGATCAGAAGTAAAAAATTCACCACACAAATAAATGGTTATGGGTTCAGTTCCTTGACAGGACCTTCCTTTTACACAAATCCTTACAAATTCAACAATAAAAGGAGTTTACTTATAGATGCACTTGCCAATGGTGGAACAACTTCTGGGTAAACTAGCAATCCTGCAAAAGGAGTGAGTTAACCCACTACTTGTTGAATACTGTACAAAGAATTAAGATTACCACATATCACCTTGCAATTGCATCATAATAGGAAAAAAAAATGACAAAATAATTAGAAACACTTCAGATGATGGATTAGACCTAAAATTTTAAAACAACAACAACTCACTTTAACATTTCCAAGATTGCTATTACAATATCATTAACGTAGCAGAAACCCGAGGCTTCAAATTTCTTGGCATGATGCAATCCTCCGGACCAATTAATAGCAACATCACAGCAATTATGGTTTAGTTTAACTGCACCCTCCAGGGATGCCCCAGTGTACATGGAACAGAAGTCATACAGGCCATCAAAGACAGGGCTGTTGGGTATAAGAAAAAAAATTAAAGAATATCATTCGAGGTATTTGAAAAAAAAGAAAAAAAAAAGAAGAGTACAGTACACAATAAGAGCATAACTAGTAAAATACAACTGAATATCTTAATAAAATGTCATACTTCTGGTTAGGATTTCCACTTGCAGCAAATACCACCTATGTTTGCCTTTTTTAATATAATAAGATTGATTTTTTACTTAAAAGTCCATCAGGTACAGTATGCTTGCCCCTAAACACTCTTTCTGTACTCCAATACTCAGCATTTCCTCCTTAGTCTACCTGTTTTACCTTACATTCTCAAAGTCTTTTTATTCATTTACATAATCAGGAGCAGCGTATCTTGTAAATTAAGCAAAAAGCAGTCACAGTCCTGTCCTACTGGTATATTGCAAATCCCACCCAACAAAAGGACACAGAATTTCAAGCTTTCACTGGATTACTAATCATGGGTTAATAACAAACAGAAGCTAATTCTTATAGGTTAAAAAAGTAGTAACACTATTACATTTTCACCACTGTATACAAATCTTGTTTCTTTTCCACCAGGCATGCCTAGACCTGATTACAATTGACAATAAAGACACCTTCTCAATGACATGAAAACTAACTTACTTCTCAACATTACATTTATAGACTAATTACAGTTAAAACATTTAATGGTAAGTGCAAATTTTGCCTTTATTTTGCTCCATGTCTGCTGTAACATGGAACTGCCTTAAAAATTAACAATTATTATAATAATAATAATAATAATAATAATAAAAATAATAATAATAATAAATGGTTTATTAAAAGAGCATGGCAGCTGAAAATATAGTTATATAATTGCTTACAGTGAATATGAATCACTGGAATTCAGAACTATCACTGATTTTTTATAATACTGTACAGTACTCAGTAGAGTACATGTACTGTACTCTATTTATACCAAAAATTTAACAATTAATTTCTCCCACCACAACTTTGAAAATACTTATGCAAAATGTACTCATATTCAAAGTTGCTGATGTGATGCAAGACAACACTATTGTATTTGAGACAAACAGTAATAAAAAGCATCTGAAACTTACCAGTCATCAGCCATGTTAAACTGTCCTAAATTTTTAGTGAAGTTCTGGACATTTTGTGGTGAAACTCTCATCAGAAAGTCTATGTATTCTTCGGAGTGAAATCTGGAAAAGAGAAAGTTACAGTATTGGTACATTCTAGCATCTTTTTCATTGTTTAAATAGAGAAGCACCACATAACATCACTGCCAACTTCAACAAGCTGCCAGCATATCTAGTTTCATTTGTTTGCCAGTTTTATGAATACTAAACACAATCATTTTTACTTTTGTGTGTCTAAACTGGTATATCAGCAAGAGAAAAATGATGGATATTATCTTAGCATACTGTATATCTGAAGGGATGTACTGTAGCTATATTTTGGGAAGTTGTCCACATTATATGAATTAAGAACCTAAGATTACATTCACTCCATACCTACCTAGTCATGTCATGAAAATTTGCTCGATAAGGCCTGTATATCTGCAACTTCTTGTATAAGCCATAATGGAGGACAAGACTGTGTGTAATTGATAGACGATGTGGTTTCATAGGGTGTCCAGGACCTGTTGAAAAATAGTTTATCGTTATTTAATGAAAATGGCAACAAACTCAGATTCAGTTCTTAGGTTATTTTGAAATGAGTCAATAGTTTGTGCACGAAATAGCGGTTAGAGTACAACTCGGCCCATTGCCAACTCGGACCATCTTGGACCACTTAGGTTAAAATTTTTGTGCATGAATGATAAAAGTACAATGATAAATAGCAGCATACTGTAGCTTGTAAGGGGAGGGGGGGAATTGATTTGTTATTATCTATCTCTTCAATTCTATCTTATTAATATATTAATGTACAGTCAGCCAAAGATGCACCGAACCCACCCTGGGTCTCGTGCTCGCAATATTACTTGGTAATACTTGGTAAAGGAAGGTTGTATGTAAAGGTGTTTGTGATTGGTGGATCTGTTTTTGGCTGTATCACTGTCAGGATAATTATTAAACAAATCAAAGGTAGAATTTTTATAATAATAAACTATTCATTGTTATTTAAGGTCATGAGAAGTTTCCAAATGTTCGTATATTTGCTTAAATAATGAAGCAATTATATTAATGAAATGGCAACTCTGCAACCACAACTGCCACAAGATTCTCACATAAATTTTCTTCATTATTTAAGAAAATATACGAACATTTGGAAACTTCTCATGACCTTAAATAACAATGAATAATTACATTCCTGAGCCTCCCTTTGCCCCATGAAATAAATTACATATACACAGAAATTCAATGGCATTTTTATAGAAAATATTATATATATGTATATAAATAAAATCAATAATTTTGTATTGTATTCACTGATGGATGGAGGTGGTGGAGCGAGTGTGTGGTGGGTAGTGGAGTGGAGGAGGAGGGTGGAGAGTCACTGAGACCCGACAGGTGACTCCTCCTCCTGGTTTAAAACCTCCATTTTCATAGCAAAGCTAATGGTCTTATGTTGCTTCTTCACAACACTAGCATCAGTCGCACTTGATGGGCGCTTGGAAGCAAAAACATTTAAGCACACACGAATGATGTGGCAGCGTAACAGAGACTGGCCTGGCGTCGCCTGGGGATGCTGTGCTGTTGCGCTAGTGAGGTAGAATGGCCAGACGAGAGGGGGTGATGTGCCGTAAAAAGTAGTCCGTGACGATGCAAAAACGACGTTAAACGAATTATTGATATCTAAACAGTAGCGACGTAGTACCGAAACAAGGTTAAGCGGGGCGACGTTATATGAGGACTTATTGTAATGAGTTACTTAATGCACAAAGGCAGAACACGCCATACAGAAAAATCGGATCAAATAACAATGACCCCCAAATGGATAAATAATTATTTAAAGAATATTATTGGCCAAAGGAAGGCTATTGGTTGGAGAATAAATAGTGAAGTTTAGGTCTGAGTGGGGTTAAGACCGAGATAAGAAAAGCAAAGAGGAATAATGAACTGAAGGATGCAAGGGAGGTGAAGATAAACCCCAAGGGATTTTTTCAAATGTATCAAACTAAAACAAGAGACAAGATTGGAACAATACCGGCGAGCTAACTGACAACGACGGAGAAATGAGCAATAATCAGAACAGGTATTTTTCAACAGTTTTCACAACCGAAAATTTAAATATGATACCCGAGACACCGACTATATACAGAGATGGTGATGAAAATAGATTAAGCGAGATAATAGTGAATAGTAACGATGTTAGTATGCAAATAGACAAGCTAAAGCCTAAAACAGGTATTCCTCGACTCACGACCTACTCGACGTACGACCACCCGGACTTACGACCGCCTCAGTCGTATAATTTTTTTTCAAATTACGTATTTTCGAGTCCTGACGTTAGTGATTGCGCTGTTTACTGACAAGATTTTCATTTGTAATTCCCTTTAAATTGGCTGGCAAGCTTAAAAGTGAGTTTTGTAGTGCTGAGAAGAAAAAGAGACACCCATTTTAGATTTTCTATGTATTATTTTCACATTTTCGACTTGCGACCTGGATTTGCGTCCCTAACCCTGGCGTAAGTCGGGGACTGCCTGTAAGTCACCAGGTCCCGATGAGATATTTACCAGAGTATTAAAGGAATGTAAGGGAGAGCTTAGCATGTCCTCAGCAAATTTTTTAACATGTCATTAAAAACGGGTGTAGTGCCAGAATCCTGGAGGATAGCGAGTGTAATACCTTTTTCAAGAAGGGAAATAGATCACTACCCTCTAACTACAGTACTGTCCAATCAGTTTAACATCAATTGTAGGCAAATTGCTGGAAGCAATAATTTCAAACCTTATTCGAAATCACCTGGAGAAGCACAAGTTACGAATGTGAATCATGGTTCATTGATCAAGTTCTACTAACATAAACTCATAAAATTCGTCCTTCATACCGATTGAACCCTCAGTATTCACTCATTCACACTCTTCGTATTTCGGTAACCAAATGAGACATAAAACATATCTTAAACTCATTCCTGAACCTCTAGTCAGCTTCTTGTTTGAAGTGTGCAAGGTGGGCCGAGTTGGTTATTTAAGATGGGCCGAGTTGGAAGTACACCCAAAATAGATGGTCACTGCATGCAAAATGTCAATTTGGTCATTGAGGGGAAAACATGGGGTTAAAACACAAAACAAAGTATTTTACCTTATCTTTATCAATTCTTAGTTTAAAATGTTTTTTTCACAGCTCTCAGTAGCTGGTGGTAATATTACAAATGCCCAAACTCTCCACAGAATATTGGAGCAGTGTTACAAACATTAACTCAACCTAACCCAATCTAAACTACATAACCAAACCCAGCCTAAAAGACAACCTAACCTAATTAATAATCTTACCTACTGGGGTGAAGGAGAAAGGGGTCATAACTCAAAATGAGGTATACTGTATGCACAAGAAATGATTATCACCAGTGAATACAAAATAAAAAATACCTCTAAGGAAACATGTCTCATTGCTGGGTCGAGGAGTCGGTATTTTCTCTATTGAAGCTGTATTTTCCATACTGTACACATATTACGACAGGTTGAAGCTCCCATATCCAGCAACCATGGGACCAACTCTGAGCCGGATATAGGAAATTGCCGTTATTTAGAAAGTCGCATTTGTTTATATACTGTACTTGTAATAGGTTACCGATACACTGTTTACCTGTACTCAGTGGTGGGCACAGCTAAACGAAAAGTTAGCTTCACTAACCGCTAATCTGCTAACTAAAAAGTTAACTTCGCTAACGCTAAACCGCTAAACAGCTAAAAAAATTAGCGGAAGCTAATGCTAACCGCTAACTTTTATTATGTGAATTTAGCTTCGTTTTTTTTTGGGGGGGGGGAGGGCTCTAAAACCCTTAAAAACAGACCTAGAGCTGAAATTTTCATATGTTGTCTTGTAGCTTAGACATAGAGCTTTCCAAAAAGGTATAGCATGCCAAGATCAGATGATGATCAAGGTGTACACAAATAATTAAATGAACAAATGAAATTAAACATTAGTTTACATTCGAGTTTCAACATACACTTTATAATCTTTACTTACTGTACGAAAAGACAGAAAGTATTAAACGAATCCAAAAACTATTGTACTGTATAGCATAGGTAGCAAATAGCATCATGCCAAGATCAGATGATGACCAACTTATCAAGGTGTACACTGTACACAATTTCACAAATAATTAATTTGCATTCTCATACAACCTATCGGCCTAATTCATAATTCATGTAAATATGCAATACCAACCACATACACATTATACCAGTGCATTTTTATATAACTTGTTGTTGGTCTTAGTCATTATACCAGTGCATTTTTAAATAACTTACCGTATTGTTGGTCTTAGTTATATAAATAAACAGAAAACTCTAAACTTTAATGAAAAGTAAGTTGTTAGACAATTTTGTTTGGCGTACACCTTGGATGACATCCTGGTTATGAGCTTATGCAGTACTTAGCATAACCAAATATATTGACACAAAAAATCCCAATTAAATTTACAAATAAATGAGAAATGAAATTATACATTAGTTTATAATTACATTCTATGATTCTTTCAACATACACTGACAGTCTTTATTCACTGTAAAAAAAAAAAGTACTAAACTTTAATACGGGTAATCGAAAAATTCCATTCATGTTTACATGTACTAACACGCAGTCAGCTAAGGGTGCCTGACTGGCTGTTGGAAACACGCGTCGCGGCGTCACACTCTTACAACAAACAGGAACAAATATGTATAAATTTTGTTAGCTGAACTAAATTTAACGGAAGCTAATTGGTCCGCTAATGGTTTCCAAAGTTAGCGAAAACGCTAATCCGCTAACAAGAAAGTTAGCTTCGCTAATTAGCGGTTAGCGGATTAGCGGAACCGTGCCCACCACTGCCTGTACTTGTATGTAAACACACAATTGGGAGCCATTGTTCAGTTTAATAAGGGTACAATAAAACTGTAACGCTTAAATAAGCACAGCACCACTATCAACTGTTAATTCAAACAAACAAACTACAAGGCAAGAGCGACTGGTACACCACCAAAACATTAGCAACCAACAGGCGAAACTACAAGATGCTGACGCTTTATGGGAGGTTTGCCGGGTAGTAGAATTTTCTTTCACGTTACCATCCGACTTTACTGTTCTTTAGGTTTTCTGGATAAAGGAATATCCAAACACAGTGCCATTTTTGGAGGGGAATTGCTGTATGTTAGAGTACTGTGTCTTGCAAAATATCTACCACTACGAATAAGTCACACCTCTGCACAGTGGCCGCAACCAGGAGCGAGGCAGAGTGGAGCTAACTGGTAAAGCACCACTCAACATTATCACCACACAATGAACATACCATATTATTATTACCACCACACACTGAGCATCACACAATATTAGCAACACACAATAAGCACCACACAATATAGGCTTCACCAGTTAGCTCAACTGCTGATCACAGCCACCGCACAGGCGTGACTTACGAAAGTCGTAGGTAGACATTTGGCATGATACCGGATATGGGAGCTTCAACCTGTATTTATTTATCACTTCACCATTTATCATCTTACTAGCCATTTGGACAGTTTGTCTATTCTTTGTTATGGCCATTTTGTCCATTGTTAATGCAGGAGGAAACCGGAGTGCCTGGAGCCCACCTATGATGTTTGGTAGGGACACTCTCCCCACATGTGACCCGGGTAAGACCCAAACCCATGACTTGTAGTGAGAAATACAACCAACACTAACTATGCAACTATCACTCTTCCTCTGCTGTGAGTACAGGTCTAGATGTAGCAGTAACTCCCAGAAGGACGGGTTTTTCACTTCATGGATGTCTTGTGAAGACGCATTGCGCTGCCTCGGGGGCCGGGAATTCTCCTTTCTTATAGGGTGACCAAAAGACCATAGCTGAGTACATACCGTCAAGTTCAGTGGGTAATAATCTTTTGTGGGTATATGGAAAATAACTCCTGCATTGTATTATGTGATGTTCATGTCAACAATATCTATATTACAGAAGACCTAGAGACGTAAGACAAGTTGGTATAGGATGACCTCACACACTCAGTTACTGTACATAGTGGCCAATTATTTTGTTGAGACTCACACAACTTCTTAAACTATATTCTATAAACTCATATTTCATATTAAATATTACTTACCATAATGAAAATTCCCGACGTCCGGATCATAAAAATAAGCGACTGTCTTCCCTCCCATGTTTGTTTACATTAAGACGAGAGAGCATCGGGTAGCGCAGTGCCCGGTCATGTTTCACCATCTCTCAGATAAATACACAGATAGTCAGTAAAATTGTCAATATATATATATATATATATATATATATATATATATATATATATATATATATATATATATATATATATATATATATATATATATATATATATATATATATATATATATATATATATATATATATATATATATATATATATATATATACACATATATATATGCTGATAACCACAAGGAAAGAAGAAAACGCGAAGTTCCCAAGCGCTTTCGTGTAATTCACATCTTCAGGGGTGAGTACAGACTAGAGAGAGAAATACAAATCAAGGTGTATATATATACAGAGGAGGGTGAGACCAGGTCCACAATGGTCAGGTATTAGGTAATGACCCTACTAATCTTGAAATAGCACACAACGGTTGGTGGTCAAGTCAGATGGTCAAGTGACCCGGCCTTCTCACCTGGTTACAAATCTTCTTAATTACAAAATTGTCCAGCTTGTACATGCCGTTACTTAAATTCATGTTGAATGCTTCTGTATGTTTAATAAGACTAGATTCTATGATGTTCCTACTATCAATTGAATTACATGGTAATATTGAGGAGGCATTATCCCAGTCAATGCAATGCTTGTTATCCCTCAAATGAACAAACAGAGCATTGGATTCCTGGCCTGTCCTAACACTGTGGACCTGGTCTCACCCTCCTCTGTATGTATATATATACACCTTGATTTGTATTTCTCTCTCAGTGTACCTTTAGACTAACACAACTAACACTTAACTAACACCTCAAAAAAAAAAAAAAAATGTGACTACCCTCCCAGTTACACAAGGACCTGGGCGGGCTCACTAACTCCAACAATAATAAAAATAATAATAATAAGCAGCATTATATAAATAAACCAATATTAATACAAAGGTCTGACGACCCAAGGGAGCAGAACAAAGATAAAACACCAATAAGAAAGATGAAGCGATCTGGTTGAGCCCAGATTCTTTCTACTCCTACTGTATTTCAGTTTCACCACTTTTCCTTCAACCCCTAATAATCTTCTTTCACCTCTTAACTAAAGACTTCGTATCGTATCGTATTTCTCTCTAGACCCCAAGCGTTTCTTTTGGTTTTATAGCATATATATATATATATATATATATATATATATATATATATATATATATATATATATATATATATATATATATATATATATATATATATATATATATATATATATATATATATATATATACAGTTCACCGTCCTCAAGTATTTTTGTGATTGATATAAGATAAAAGGGCGTTATCTAAGTTATCTAAGGAGTTGCTTGGTCATGGTCGACTATTACTAGGGGTACACGGCTGACTAGCTAAGTATACAGTACTTGAGTAAGTTTCCAAAGTTGTTAAACACAGCTGAAATTAAGTGGACTACCTCAGTGCGTACCTAATGTCCAGATCAGATTGAAGTTCATGTTAAGACACAGTAGGTAAATCTTCGCAGTCGGAAGAGGGGACCGGGGAGAGAATTTAGAAATATATAATACTGTATATGAAAAAAATCTGACCTATTTTGGAAATATTGCATTAAAGACGAATTCACACAAGCACCATACGCTAGCCTTCCTCCCACGCCCCACCCCGCCCATTCCAGAAATTATAATTAAAATGCCTTAATATTTAGAGATTGATCACATACGAATAAATATTATTTTTTTACGTGAACTTCCCATAAAATTCATAAAAAATATAATGGTACAAATATGGCCATGATAAATGATTATAAAACAAGTTACGGATAGGTCGTGCATATTTATTTGTTTCTAAAGTCGGGCAGATGAAAAATCATCAATATTAAAACTAAATATAATTCGCTTTTCATAACTATTATTTACTCGGCGAAGTACAGAAGATTATCACAAAATCATATTTATATTGTAGGGTTACGTGAGGTTATGTTGTCTAGCACTCAGGATGGATGGATGGAAACTCTAGGTGGTGGTTTTCTTATATAAAATATATTATATACAAGACAGTCTGATGCTGGAGATGCCGTGTGGTGAGAAGCTTGCTCAGAAGACACGTTCAGTGAGTAGCGTGCTTGAGGAGGTATCTGTGCAGGAGCTTCGTTAGAGGAGATGTTGCGTGTTGCTGTCCTCCAGGTTGAATGAGAGCTGGACAGCGAGGAGCTTGCTTGGAGGAGGTGTTGCGTATTCAGGAATGTAGGGTAGAATGAATCTCAATACGATACGATACGAAGTCTTTAGTTAAGAGGTGAAAGAAGATTATTAGGAGTTGAAGGAAAAGTGGTGAAACTGAAATACAGTAGGAGTAGAAAGAATCTGGGCTCAACCAGATCGCTTCATCTTTCTTATTGGTGTTTTGTCTTTGTTCTGCTCCCTTGGGTCGTCAGACCTTTGTATTAATATTGGTTTATTTATATAATGCTGCTTATTATTATTATTTGTTATTGTTGGAGTTAGTGAGCCCGCCCAGGTCCTTGTGTAACTGGGAGGGTAGTCACATTTATTTTTTTATTTTATTTTATTTATTTTTTTTGAGGTGTTAGTTAAGTGTTAGTTGTGTTAGTCTAAAGGTACACTGTATGGAGAGGCCTGCCAGGTTCTTAGTGGAGCTGGTTGGTCACTCTCATCTTTATTCCTCTAGTAATGTTTTATGTAGAAATGTGTATGTTGAGGCAGGAGGTGGTTCAATTACTTCTTCCTGGCTGATATAGCTGGGAGGTAATCTCAATGGAGAGACTGAGAGCTTATATACACAGCAGCCGGAAGTAAACCCGTGGGAACTCGCCGGTTCCTTGACTCCTTTGCTAGGGTAGACGTAGCACGTGGCGACCCCCCCCCCCCATGAGCAGCTCGCTGGTTGCTAGGATACTGTCGCATTGGAATGTGGATACGCAGTTGTAGGGGAGAGATTCACTACAATATTACTGTATTTTATTACCTAAATACTTCAATTATCACAGATGTTCCAAAAGTCACATTTTACTTTTTTGCCTGGGCTATAAGGATTTTTTTTAACTTTCCTACTGATCTGTTAAGAAAGTTTAAATTAGCTAAATCCTAATGTTTGTGGTAATATCCTGTTTTAACGGTTGACCTGCCCTAAAGCCACCTCTGCATAAATTTAAGATGTAGAAGCTGTTACCAACGCAACAACCACACCCCAAATTAACGAGCCGTATTACTCCGTGTCAACTTTGTCAAGGGATAATCATTTGGGGGCGGATCCATGAATATCATAAAGGGGGTCCAATAACTTGTGTGTGCGGGTTACATGGCGAGCACAGCGAGCCCACTCACCTGTTTTTTTTGGGGGGGGGAGGGGGGGGGCTGTAGGACCCCTTCAGAATTTTTTTTTTAATCTGACAAATATCATGGCCATTTTGAAGCCATGTGCACTTGATATTAGGAGACATTCTGAGGTCAATAGTAATGACTTTGTACGATACAAAAACGCCTGAGTATAATACTGCATTAGAGAAAAAGTATTGGAATTTTCTGATGAAAAGGGGGCGTCCAGACCCCAGGACCGCCCTGGATCCGCTTCTGCCAAAAACAAGGACAATTCGTCAATTGAGCTGGTTAACCATTATCCAGTGCCTGGGGTTGAACACGGGACCATCTCACATGCTAGGCAAGGATGCTGTCCAATCAAAGAAGAGATTACTTAGTCGAGTGCTCATACCTGGAACTAGCGGATGCCCGCCCCGCTAGAGGTCACCTTTACTTTTATCCTCTTCACCACTGATCGGCTCGTTAGCCGCAAGGGCGATCGGTCACGTCTCTGTTACGCACTGTTGGCAAGTACTGGGCATGCACCGGCTCTTGAATGCACCTGATCCTGCTCCAGTGTTGGTCAAGTTTGGTCTTCACAGAGCTCACACTCGGTGCCGTCACAGTGTTCCAAGAGTTCACAACTCTCACTCCGAAAAAGTTTGCCCTCACAGTTTTCTGGACTTGCGGCTTCTTTAATCTTGAGCTGTGACCCCTAGTGGGGCGAGCGTCCGCCAGCTCCAAGTAAGGACACTCGACTGAGTAGTGCCCCCTGAGATGCTTATACACCTCAATTCGGTCGCCCCTTGCCCGTCTGTAGTATAAGCTAGGCAAGTTCAGACGCTCCAATCTCTCAGGGTAGCTGAGGTACCGAAGTGCAGGCACCAGTCTGGTGGCCCTCCTTTGAACATTTTCAACCAACTGACAGTCCCTAGCATATCTCGGGGACCAGACGGGGTGACAGTACTCCAGATGGGGAAGCACTTCACTCTTGAAGATCGTTACGAAGGACGGACCGCCTAGATATCTGAACTACCTTCTTATAAGACCCAATAATTTATTTGCCTGATTTCCCAAACTGGAATAAACATTTCGCCTACCACTGTGGGTTTCTTCCCATACGTTGTTGTCCACGTTATGGTGTCTCTCCAGCCGTCTGCCAGAGAGTGTTGTGAGTGACGGCACCGAATGTCAACTCATGTAAACCAACACTGACACCGGCGGAAGTTCGAATATATTCCGGATTAAGTACACACCTAGTACTTGTCAACAGTGTGTAACAGAGACGTGACAGACCGGTCAAGTGGCTAACAGGCCGATTAGTGGCAAAGAAGATAAAATAATAATATAATTTACACCACACCTGCACTATCTTATTACGTGCTGAGCCAATGTAAACTTGTATGGCAGTTTTACTGAAAATCTGTTTACCGAAGATGCCGTCGTTCAACCAGTGGATACCTGTGTTGTAGTGTTGTATCAGACAACAGGGGACTAGTTCAGGTGGAATTCCCAGAATTTGGTTATATGAACACAGTGCGCCAGGGGTCCATTTCATCACACTGTTCCCAGAGTACTTGGTGGGGAGGGTCCATAAGAAATCTTCACTCCTTAAATCTAGGCAGCATTGCAATATTTCTGGGCGTTATCTTAAAGTTCTATTATTTATTATTAATATGTTTCCAGATTCAAGGGGAAACCTGGTAAGAAAATAAACTGACTCAAATATTACGTTTTTTTTTTTTTTTTTTTACGGGGATTAGCCCATCCGGGCACAGGTCACTCACCTACATCGGGGCCTGGGGGCGAAAATAATAATAATAATAATAATAATAATAATAATAATAATAATAATTTATAGTAAATAAAATTTATAATAAAAAAATAAAATATTAAAATACTAATAATAATAATAATAATAATAATAATAATAATAATAATAATAATACAAAGAAACATAAACACAAAAATGAAAAAAAAGATCAAAAGTGAGAAACAATATATGTATATATATATATATATATATATATATATATATATATATATATATATATATATATATATATATATATATATATATATATATATATATATATATATGTGTGTGTGTGTGTGTGTGTGTGTGTGTTGTGTTGTCAAAGTAAGAGAAACAATTGAGACCCTGCAATCGTGTAAATGAGGCAGAAAGTCAGATCAGCAACCTGGGACTTGGTCACAATTTTCGTGATGCCATATGGCAGCAGGGTCTACCATTAGACAACACATTATGCTTCCAATATCTTCCCAGGCGGTAGTACTGTAGTGGATTTCTCCCCTACAAACGCTGTTTGTCGCTGAGTAGCCGACCCTGCGAATTCCCCAGTGTAAGCCTCGTGGTCTAGGTCAACCAGCGCCGCCATACATCACGGAGGTCAACTACTAAGCCACGCCTACCTCCGCTATATAAGACCTGACCTCGTGGTGACCTCTCTCTTCTTCTAGCTACAGCCGCAGCAAGCAACACCTCTTCCGCCGCTGCCTGGCGGCCCTCGCTCCCGCCGGCGAGCACACCAGCTGTCCTCTGAGCTTCCTCACCAACCAGCTCTCTCTACATCACGCTTGTAACCACGCTGCCACTTCCCAGCACCAAGCTGCATTGTACATCTAATATAACATGTATACAGAGAGCACATTGTGAGTTTCCTTTCTCCAACCATCCTGAGTGTGAACCCAAACATAAGAACATAAGAAAATAAGGAGTCTGCAATAGGCCGGTTGGCCTGTGCATGGCAGCTCCTGTCGAGAGTTACTACCACTCTCTATCATCCATGAATCTATCTAGCCTCCTTTTGAAACTTTCCAGAGTTCCCGCACTTACTATAAAGTTGCTAAGCTTGTTCCACTCGTCCACCACCCTCTTTGTGAACCAGTTTCTTCCTATCTCCCTCCTAAACCTAAACTTATCCAACTTGAATCCGTTGCTCCGCGTCCTATCCTGCTCGGATATTATAAGAACTTTATCTATATCCCCTTTATTGATTCCTTTCACCCACTTAAATACTTCTATCATATCTCCCCGCACTCTTCGTCTTTCTAGGGAATGCAAGTTAAGTTTCTTTAACCTATCCTGATATGGAAGGTTTCTAAGTCCCGGAATCATGTTTGTCATTCTTCGCTACACCGACTCTAGTGAATTTATATCCATTCTATAATAGGGGCACCAGAACTGAACCGCATAATCGAGGTGCGGCCTGACTAGCGCAAGATATAGCTGCAATAAGACCTCTGCACTCTTGTTACTTACACTTCTAGATATAAAACCCAATACTCTGTTTGCCTTATTTCGAACATTAACGCACTGTTTTCTAGGCCGTAGGTCCGGGCTTACAAGTACCCCTAGGTCTCTTTCACAAGTCGACTTCTCTAGGTTGATGTTGTTAAGGCTGTATACATTATAAGTATTTGTTCTTCCAATATTAAGTACGCTGCACTTGCTGGTGTTGAATTTCATTTGCCATTTTTCAGACCACCCCTGCAGTTTATTTAGATCCTCCTGTAATGCATTTGCATTCTGCCCTGAATTAATTTGCCGCCCTATTTTGGTGTCATCCGCAAACTTGCTTATGTCACTGCTGATCCCAGTATCTAAATCGTTTATGTAGATTATGAACAAGAGTGGGCCTAGTACTGACCCCTGGGGAACCCCACTGGTTACACGGCCCCACTCAGATTTAACACCATCTAAGCTGACCCTCTGCGTTCTATCGGTGAGCCATGATTTTATCCAATTTAAAACTTTCCCCTCGATACCATGAGCCTTAATTTTTCTCAGAAGCCTCTGATGCGGTACTCTGTCAAATGCTTTACTAAAGTCTAAGTAAATAACATCGTAATTTTCGTCGTTATCTACTACCTCGAAGACTTTCCTAAAAAACGTTAGCAGATTAGTTAGACAAGATTTTCCCTTTGTAAACCCATGTTGAGTCGTAGATTAATTTGCTTTTCTCTAGATGCGATCGGATGCTATCTGCTATAATTGATTCAAGAAATTTCCCCACTACTGACGTCAAACTGATCGGCCGGTACCCCACAGTACCTCCCTGCTTGATAGCTGCCTACTACCTACTTCCAATGCCAGAAGTAAATTAGACACAAGCAGTACATCGCAGATAAAATTAAGCGATGAAAACAATTAATTGTGCTAAATTAACATTACTATAAGACGCACTCAAATCTATGAAAAAATGTATGAACATGGGATGGATGTGGCAACACTAATATTGTAATCTTACTGTTAAAATGCTCCGGTGCCGAGACTGATCTATCTAATTTTGTTATCTTTTTATTACTGAGCCACAACAAAATCATCTCAATCAACATACCTTTGGTTTAAGGTAATTCGCAAACACTGGAATAAACTACATGGCAACGGTCAGGCAGCCTCGACCTTCTAGTAACGGCTAACGAGGTGAGTAAATCCAGTCGACTCAACGCACTCACTGCACTCCCCGTCCCTACCCTCAGTCATTCTGTCGCTCTCGGGCAGGTAGGATGTCTATCGGGAACGTGGACAGTGATGAGGGGAAGTCCTCAGAAAATGGTATACATGTGGTGAAAACAGGAGTCCAAGCCCACGTAGACGAGAACAGGGTAGGTGGGAAAGTGAATCATTGTACAGTAATTATATTTTGAGTGTTACGCGTACTTTAGAATTAAAAGGTTTCTCGCTAGACCAGTTATTCTTAAATTATATACAATAGTAACAAGTAATCCGGTCACAAGAATGTTATGACAAGGTGTATACAGTAATTGTCTAGCACTTGTAAATAGTTAATAGTTATTGAATGCTATATTGAACAGTCCCTTTGATCAGTTTGTGAAGACTTCGACGAAACATTTTTTGCGTATGAAATTATTGCACAGATTTTATAGAAGCAATTAGAAACCCATAGCCGATTGTTATCGTGGCATATTGTCCAAACTCTTAACAAGCAATGAGGTATTTTAGTGAACTTTCAAGGTAACTAGCACAGTCTTCTTGCTATAGTCTTGTTCAACATTGTTCAGTTTTAGGGGAGCTGGAGAATGTTTTATTATTGTTCAGTGCATCTGTCAGTAACGTCATGCCAGACCTGCCCATCATACGTCTGGCTGGCGTTTAAAAATTATCTACTCGAGGGAGGAGTAGACTAGACTGGTGTACGTGACCTTGACCTTCTGACCCCTCCAAAGGTAGTGTCTGTAGGGGGGTCATCCTGGTCAGTGTATTCATAAATATGGAACTTGTGTCTCACTTATTTTTCGAGTTGTCACCGGGTCAAGTATGGTTGCTGGATGCTGGGAATTATAGGTCAAGTCTGGTTGCTCGGGTCAAAGTTTATTTGTTTCTTGGGGGTGGAAGTGTTAATCTGCTTGTTAGTTTCCCCGGGTCAAGGGTAAATTTGTTTGTTGTCAGCAGTTGAGGGTCCGCTATAGACGTTTGTTGCCAGGGGTGGAAGGTCAAGTGTACTTGCTGGTTACTGATGGTCAAAGTTCGGGTGTTGGTCGCCGGGGCCCGAGAGTTAACTTAACGGAGATAAGCTTTGGAAGGCACCTGAAAACTGTTATCGTGATAGACTGCGTTCATAACATATTAGACTCTCATAGCACCTGCCGGGGTAAGTGAACACCGCACAGTTATGAGTCTTTGAGGAGTAACAGGGTGTACGATGACGCGACCGCCTCCACTAAGTAAACTCACCTAGCAACTGTATTCGGTCTAATAAGTCAAAGTATCTAATAATATAATTCTGATATTTGGTCGTTATTTTTTGTACTTGAACTTAAGCCGCGCTCTGACACATTAAGCTTTCACTTTCCAGGAATATTCATGGTACGAATGTTTGTAAACCCGAACACGAAATGTATGTGACGGGGTACTGTAGATTTAGTTCTATATTTTTAGGTTCGGTGACCATCTGCGATACTGATAGTGTGTGAAGAAAGTATCACGCTGTACCTTAGTTTATACCCAAATTTGTATTGTTACTGATAGTTTGGAATAATGCTTTTAATTTTGAATCTTGTTTTGCTACTATATCTAGTTATTCTCATTCTTGTATTCTGGACGAGCGAGGGACCCCGTGGATGTAATACTGTACCATAACAGCTCTGGTAACACGAGCTATCTAAACCTAATCTCCATAAGATCATCAGGTGTTCTTGTATTATAATGGGAGTTAGATTGGTTAGACATTAAAGTTCTATTTCACCGAACAGGAGAGTAAGTTTGGCAGATTTCCAGGCTATTATACTAAATATACTTGACAGACAATACATTAAGGACAATACTGTTTGATGATTACTTAGTATGTGGAGCTATTACTTGTGTTTGAGATACTGTTATCTCTGGTGTAATCACTGATCTGGGGGTAATGTTGTGTTATCTTTCATTATCTAGACCGTCAAGGTGAGACGTCCTGGCTGAGTGATGGTTCTCAAGGATCACGGACGAGTTGATCCACTGAAAAATATGTTGTGTATTGGTAAATGTGTTTTAATCTTACGGTTAATAATGCTTATATTTAAGTGTTTTTAATCGTATTTTGTTAACAATATAAATCCAGTGGACGAGAAGATGACAAAAAGACAAAGTGATTAAATGGTAAGGGGGCCGAAGGTGGCATCCGATGCATTCAGCGCTCCGATCAATTGACAAAAAACATTACTTGAATTGATTTCATTTTAAATAGAACTGACCAATGATCCGTAAGAAATACACACACAAGCAGACAATTTAACCCCGAAATAGTCCAGGGATATATACTGCTACAGTTAATTAAAATTATTTTTTTTGTTGCTTCACCACCAGATTCCCATTTAAACAATACTGTAGTGGAAACTCAAACCCTTTTAACGGTGCGATGCGAGTTAAGAAACTGTTTCTTCGACTATATTTTATGTAACTTATATTTTGTTGTGCGTGATCCAACAATATTGTGACAAGTGGCTTTAGTACCTGATGCTGTATCGTTTATTTTTTTTATTAGAATTCTTAGTTAACTTTGTGACCTGTAGATTAGAATACATTAATTAAAGCTATAGACGGCATAATATGGTTTTAATTTCTATAAATATAAATCGTTTTATAATATAACTTCAGTTGGACCTAGTCTTACTCTTCTCACCATATCGGAAACATGGACACAATATATCTATGAGGAGTGTTTTGAACGATAAGTCAGATAAGCAGGTGTTGGGTCCCAATACCCTTTGATCCAGTGACCTGGCTGTGTTATCCAGGCCAGGTATAGACTGTGGACTGTTTCAACACTCACTGTCACACAAACGTTTCCTGTTCACACTGGCATTGCAATTTATATTTTTCCTTGTTCAATAGATTTAATTAGCCGCATTTGCTCTTGATTTCGCATTCCACATTTGATATTATTAACTGAAGCTGCTATAAAGTTATCAAATTAATAACACCAGCACGTTGAATGTCTTAATATTATTGTATAGCCAATTTTAAAGATTCATGTAGGCACGCACATGAGGCGTGACTTAACGGGGCCAGGGACTAGATACCAAACAATACAGTTCCTTAAGTGTAGGTGATGAACACTGCATCGTCATTTTAAATTGCCAGAGTTTGAATTCATTACCAACATTAAATCGCCAGGTTCTAGGTAATTTAGAGGAAATGAGGTGAATGTAGGTCATGTTGTTTGTTTCATGTGACATGCATGACGTTGTACACTCCTCCATACAAATGTTTGCCGATGACGCCAAGTTATTTCGGGAAATTAAGAACTAAGCGGACTGTGAAGAGCTGCAGAAGGACCTCTGTGGGCTCCAGGAATGGTCGAAGAAATGGCTGCTGAGATTCAATGTCACGAAGTGTAAGAGGATGCACCTGGGGCGTACCAACGGTAAGGAGGCGTATCATATGTCCCAACGGGATGAAGAAACTGCACTAGTTGAGACTGTGTGTGAGAAGGACCTAGGTGTGTATGTTGACAATGAGCTGAAGTTCTCGGGCCATTGTGAGAAGAAGGTAAATTAGGCAAATAAATTATTGGGTCTTATAAGAAGGTCGTTCAGATATCTAGACGGTCCGCCCCTCGTAACGATCTTCAGGAGTGAAGTGCTTCCCCGCCTGGAGTACTGTCACCCCATCTGGTCCCCGAGATATACTAGGGACTGTCAGTTGGTTGAAAATGTTCAAAGGAGGGCCACCAGACTGGTGCCTGCACTTCGGCACCTCAGCTACCCTGAGAGATTGGAGCGCCTGAACTTGCCTAGCTTATACTACAGACGGGCAAGGGGGGGACCTAGTTGAGGTGTATAAGTATCTCAAGGGGCACTACTCAGTTGAGCGTCCTTACTTGGAGCTGGCGGACGCTCGCCCCACAAGGGGTCACAGCTCAAGATTGAAGAAGCCGCAAGTCCAGAAAACCGTGAGGGCAAACTTTTTCGGAGTGAGAGTTGTGAACTCTTGGAACAATCTACCAGAGTGTTGTGACGGCACCGAGTGTGAGCTCTTTCAAGACAAGACTTGACCAACACTGGAGAGGGTTCAGGTACATTCAGGAGCCGGTGCATGCCCAGTATTTGCCAACAGTGCGTGACAGAGACGTGACCGATCGCCCGGGCGGCTAGTGAGCCGATCTTTTGATGGAGATGTATGAAAAGGAAAAGTAACAGAGACGTGACCGATCGCCTAAGCGGCTAACAAGCCGATCAGTGGCGAAGAGGATAAAAGAAAAAAAATAAATGTCAGCTGCTGAGGTTTAATTCTAGGAGAAATCGGTATGGATGCTTTCTGACCCGAACACCAATTTATCTTTAACCCATATAAACTTTAACCAAGCTCAAACTTCCTCTGACAAAATGCTTAGTCAGTTTCCCGAGCAGTTACCTGCATATCTGGCGGTGTGATACAGTCCGGCCCTCTTTCCCTTCGCTGCTTTGGAAATTTCAACAAATAAAAAATCTAGGTATGGTATTCCACGTCATGAAAACTACCGCTGTGAACCTCCAACAAATAGTCTTCGCTTATTTAACAGTTGGCTACACAAAGAAGACACTTTGGCCAAGATGTAATGAATTTACAAATATAGGAGAAATTCATCTAGCTCAAGGTGTTCCCTGCATCAACAAATGTGTGACATTACCTTGGCACGTTCCCTCCAAAATCAACTTACAACTGATTGCCTAAGAGCGATAAGAAACTTGTTTCATTTCTGTATCCAGGCTTGTATAACTTTCTCTTAATTGAAAAGGAGTTCCAGAGGCTGGTTGCAAGCGAGGTCAAGTCAAACCTAAAGACGTTTTACCGCTATGCAAAGTCGAAATTAAAAACGCGAGTAGGAGTATCAGACCTGAGGCTTGAAGATGGTAGTTACGCAGATTCTGATCAGGATAAAGCTGAGGCATTGAACAGCTTCTTTTCATCAGTGTTCACAAGAGAGGATGCTATTAACCTTCCTGCGTTTGAGGACAGACGGTTCGAAAAAGCACTGACCCACATTGTGCTCACAGAAGAGGGTATTAGAAATAAACTGTCAAAGCTAAGGGTCCATAAGAGTCCCGGCCCTGGCATGGTGCACCCTAGAGTGCCAAGAGAGTTGTGCAACGAGCTTGCCGAGCCCCCTGAAGATCTTGTTTTG